ATCTGTAGAACTGATTGGCAATTTCTTCCATGATCCTTTAATTTATTTACGTCAATCTTTATGTCTAAATCATTTATAGCTGGTCTTGGTATATGGTGTAAAGTGTTGGTCTATACCTAGTTTTCTGCCAGACTGCTGCTTTGCAGTTTTTCAAATGGTTTTTATTGAATAGTGAGTTCTCATCCTGGTAGCTGGGATCTTTGGGTTTATCAGATCCTAGGTCACTGTACTCATTTACTTCTATATATCACATACCTAATCTATTCCACTGATCAATCTCTTTATTTCTTACATAGTGCCAACTTATTTTCTCAGTTGCAATTTGTAGTTTGTAGTTTGAGATCTGATACTGCTAGACCCCCTTCCTTCCTACTGTTTTCATTAATTCCTTTTATATTAATGACCTTTTGTTGCTCTAGATGAATTTTGTTATTCTAATGATGTACAAAAATATTTATAAGCTCTGTTGAGCTTATGAATAAACTTTTGGTAATTTGATTGGTATAGCCCCAAATAAGTAAATACATTCAGATAGTATTATCATTTTTATTATGTTGGCTTGACCTACCCATGAGCAATTACTATTTCTTCAATTATTTAGATCTGTATTTGTATAAAGAGTGTTTTGTAATGGTGTTTACATGGTTTTTGTGTGTCTTAGCAGGTAGACTTCCAAGTATTTTATATTATCTGTAGCTATTTTAAGCGGAATTTCTCCTTCTATCTCTTCACATTGGGTTTTCTTGGAAATATACAGAAATGCTGATGATTTGTGGAGGTTTAGTTTATATCCTGAAATAACTCTGAAGTTGTTCATTGTTTCACTTAGTTTTTTAATTGATTCTCTAAGGTTCTCTAAGTAAATTGTCTTATCATCTACCAAAAAAAAAGCGATCATTTTGCTTCCTCTTGGTCTATGCTGTTTTCTTCAAGCCTATTTTCTTTCTTATTGCTAAAGATAACATTTCTAGGACTATATTGAATAGTAATAATGATCATGGACATCCTTGCTTTGTCCTGATCTTATTGCAAAGGCCTCTAGCTTATCTCTATTACAGATAATGTTGGTTCTTGGTTTGAGGTAGATACTGTTTATCATTTTAAGGAAAGGTCCACTTATTCCTATGCTTTCTACTGCTTTTTAAATAAAAATGGGTGCTGTATTTTGCTAGTTTTTTTCTGCATCCATAGATATAATTTCATTGTTTTTGTTATTAATATGGCCAATTATGTATATAGTTTTCCTAATATTGAACTGGTCCTGCATTCCTGATATAAATCTAACCTAGTTATGTGTATAATCTTTGTGATATGTTCCTGAAGGCTTCCTGCTAATATTTTATTTAAATATTTTCATCAATATTCATTAGGGATATGGGCTTGTAGTTTTCTTTCTATAGGTTGACTCTCCTTGATTTAAGTATCAAGATCATATTTGCGTCATAGAAGGACTTTGATAGAACCCCTTATTTTCCTATTTTTCTCAAACAATTTATGTAGTAATGGTAGGAGGAGGAGGAGGAGGAGGAAGAGGAGTTGGTGTTGTCATTCAGTTGTGTCTGACTTTTCATGACCTCATGGACCACAGCACACCAGGCTCTTCTATCCTCCGCTCTCTCTCAAAGTCTGTCCAAGCTCACTTTCATTGCTTCCATGGCACTGTCTATCCATTTCATCTTCTGCCATCCCCTTTTCCTTTTGCCTTCAATCTTTCCCAACATTAGGGTCTTTTCCAATGAGTCTCACCTTCTCATTATGTGCCCATAGTATTTAAGCCTCAGCTTCAGTATTTGACCTTCCAGTGAATAGCCTGAATTAATTTCTTTAAGTATTGACTGATATGATCTCCTTTCTCTCCAAGGGACTCCGCTAGCACCACAATTCAAAAGCAACAATTCTGTGGTGCTCAGCTTTCCTTATAGTCCAACTCTCACAATCATACATAGTTACTGAAAAACCATGGATGGTTTTGACTGTACAGACCTTTGTCCACAAGGTGATGTCTCTGCTTTTCGGTATGCTGTCCAGATTTGCCATAGCTTTCCTTCCGAGGAGCAAGCATCTTTTGATTTCATGACTGCAGTCGCCACCTGCAGTGATCTTTGAGCCCAAAAATGTAAAATCTGACGTTGCTTGCATTTCTTCTTCCTCTATTTGCCAGGAAGTGATGGGACCAGTTGCCAAGCTCTTAGTTTTTTAAATGTTAAGCTTTAAGCCTGCTTTTACACTCTCCTCTTTTACCTTCATCAAGAGACTTCTTAATTTCTCTTCCCTTTCTGACATCAGAATGATATCATCTGCATATATCAGATTGTTGATATTTCTCCAGTCAACCTTATTTTGTGTAGTATTGGAATTAATTCTTTAAATGTTTAGTAGAATTTGCTTAGAAATCCATCTGGTCCTGGGGTTTGTTTCTTTGTGAGTTCATTTATGACTTGTTCAATTTTTTTAACATTATATTTCCAATTTTTTCAATCAGCAAAAATCTGCTTTCTCACCCTCTCCCACCCCTCCCAACTTGAGAAAGAAAAACAAATTCCATTACAAAGAATATATAGTCAATCAAAACAAATTTCCACATCAGTCATGTTAAAAAAAATATATATTTGTCTCATTCTGCCCTCTGAGTTTCTTCCCCTCTCTACCAGGAGCTCAGTAGTCTTTTTTATCATTAGTCCTGCAGAATCTCAGTTGATCATTGCGTTGGTAAGAGTTCCTAATTCTTTCAAAATTGTCTGCATTGACCATATTGCTGCCATTGTATAAACTGTTCTGCTGGTTCTCAACATTTCAGTATACGTCAGTTCATACAGGTCTTCCCAGGTTTCTGTAAAACCATCCCCCCTCATCACTTCTTACGACTCACTAATATTCCGTCACATTTATATTTTGTAACTTGTTCATCCACTCTGCAGCTCACCGGCACCTCCTCTAGTTTCCCATTCTTTCTCCCCTCAAAAGAGCTCATATTTTTGTACATCATTAGTTAAATTGCTTTGCCTAGGCCTAATCTCTCTCTTATTCTCCCTCCCCTCCTTGTCTCCTTTCCCTATTGAATGAAACGTATTTCTCCACCCAACTGTGTGTGTTTGTGTATTCTTCCTTTCTTTACTTTGTCTGACTTGCCCAACATCTTTTGGCTCATTAATTGGATTGGTATCAACCAACCAATGTTGCTTACATACATATTCAGCCTAGCGGACTTAGTCTTTGGACAAAGAGAGCAGAAAATTCAGAACCTTGTGGCTTGCCTCTTCCTCTAGGCCCTCAGCTGAGAGAGACACTTCTGGGGCCCCTGGAGGCTGGGCTCATCCTTGCTGTCCTCAGAGGCTAGAGGGTCCCTCCCCAGAGGCCCACAGGGCCCCACACTTTGGCCTAGTAGAGAAAGGCTGAAGCCATTACAACTCTTGTTCAGTGACTTGGCCTCCCCCCAGGGAGGGACAGGGTATTCACAGTGGGCAGTTCATCGCTGGCTACAGAGCTGTGAAAAATAACCTTGGCCTCCATGTTCCTTCCCTCCTCCTCTCTCCTCTCCCCTACTCTAGGCAGCCAGTGGCCTGTGCGAGCTCCTCTCTGTCAACAGCTGCATGGGCCGAGTGAGGCGCATTTACCCCCAGCTGCTCCTGGCTCTCTTGGTCCAGGTCCATTACCACATCGGCCTGAACTTGCCTAGCAACAATTGTAGCTTCAAGGATGGCCGGAGCTCCATCTTTATCCCTGTCTGGTAATCTCTACTCCTGTTACCAACCAGCCCTGAGTTCCAACAAACCATCCATTAGATTTGGCAATACAATGGTAAACAGAAGCATAGTTAGTGAATCTACTCATTCTTCACTTCCTTCCTGTGAACATAAGCTTATAAAACATATATTCCTGAGGGTAAGGCCAAGTTATTTGTGGGGCGGGGGAGTGGAGGGCAAGAACTGATCATGAGATTTAGAATGGGAAAAGATTTTAGAGACCACATAAGACTATTTTACAGATAAGAAAGCTGTAGTCCAGAGAGAAGGGACTTACTCAACCTCCCACAGACAGTAAGTAGCAGAGCTGTATATAAAATCCTTTGCAAACATTAAGTTAATTGTTTAAATGTCAGCTCTTAATGATTATTCCCACTTACCTGGCTAGCTGCCTCTCACCTTTAGGTCAAACAAGTTAATGCCTTTTCTTAGCAGTGTGTATGGATGGTAGGTGGACTGGCTAATGCAAGTGAATTTCCTGGGATTTTCGGCCCCATGCATCTGGGCTAAAGCACCTGGAGGGAATTGGCAAGAGAAGCAGGGTTCCTCCAATGAGGGGTGGTTGGACTAGATGTCCACCAAGGTCCCTTCTAGCCCTGAAATTTGATGGGCTTTTAATCTAGGTCAGCAGCTGCATGTGATTAATTTGTTTCTGGGAGCTTCAACTAAAGTAATTCACATTTTCATAAGCACGTGTCAAATTTACAAAACCTTTTTTCCACGACAGCTCTGGTAAGCATGCAATACAATGTAGCATCCCATTAGTACTCTCGCTGGATAGGTCCTTGAGGGGACGACTGCTCACTCGGAGTCTAGGGGTAGCCCTAACAGCATAGCTCATGAGCCCCCACTGGTGGACTTCTCATCTTACAGACGAGGAAATATCCTCAGAAAAGGGAAGTGGCCAGCTTTAGGTCACACAGCTAGTAATGAGTGGTCAGGATTCAAAATTAAGTCTCTGGAGTCTAAAGCCAAATGGGAAAACTATAAGGTATCTTAGGAGTTACTAAATCCAACCCTGAGACTTAGAGAGGTGAAATGCTTTGCCCAGGGTCACGCATCTAGTAAACATCAGAAATGAAATTTGAACTCGGGTCTTCCTGATTTCAAAGCCAGCGCTCTACCACCCAACGTTTCATCCCAGGTGATGCAGGAGCCAGAGAACTGGGTAGCTGGGAGAGAGAGCAGGTTAGCCTAAAAGACACAGCTTTGCCATTAGCCCCAAGACTTTAGGGCACAGCCTCTACGAAAGGACAGATCACAATGCTTATCCCATAAATATAGATGGTCAGACAAAAGGATGTCAGAAGGTAGATAAAGGAAGGTCTTAAAAGGGTGGTAAATTTTGCTTCTGTTTATTCTTGAGTTTCCAAGGCTAATTTTTTTTTTCAAAACCTTGTTTTTAATGCACTAACACCCCCTAATGGAGACTTACAGTACCTAACACAGCATATGTAATAGGTTGCAGGTAAATTAAGGGACCTGCACTCCTGGGGCGAGGGGTCCCCTCCACTGACATTCTGGGGCCCGGGGCCACAGGCAAGGTGACCGGGATGGGGGTAAGGATGTTTGGGGGAATAGACAGCCCTAACTTCTCAGGGTAGGGTAAGGATAGGTTTGATGCTAGCTCTCTGCTGTCCTACCAGCTGGGTGGTGAAGGTGGTCAAGACTCTTCTGTTGAAGATGGGTTGCTCTTACGAAGCCGCCCTGCTGGAGAGCCAAGGCGGCTGGGAGCTCATGGGTCTGGCTGAGCATCACCACCGGGGCGTATCTCTGCTGGCCAGGTAAGCCCCCAGCTGATGCCACTCCTGTGGATCTGGGAACCGAAGGGCTGGGAAGGAGAGGCCAGGCTCTGGACTAAAGTCTACTGTACCTATAGCATTCTCCAACATACGAAGCACTCTCTTCACAAGAGTCCTTGTATTTTCACAAGTATTTTTATCCTTTGTTTGCAAAAGAGGAAACTGAATCTCAGTGAGGTGAAGTGGCCTGTTCAGGGTTATCTATCTGAGATCTGTTGACTCCTAGACCAGAGCCCTTCCCAATACTCCACACTGTCCGAACTCCAGGTCATAACCCAGGAGCCGTTGACCTTGGTGCGGCTGGCCACGCCAGGACATCAGGGGACTGAGGATTATACCCTTGGAGACTCAGTTGAAAGAATTAAGGGGTATTTAGCCTGGAGAAGAGGAGACTGGGGGAGAGTGAAATCTGTCTTTAGTATCTGAATATAAGTCCTATGAGCGCATTGTTTGCTTTATCTTTTGTTCTCTGTTGCTTACCTCAGTCCCTGGCAGCAGAGTAGAAGGCTGATAAATTCTGGTTGATTGATTGACTCAAATATTTGGAGGATTTTCATAAGGAAACAGGATTAGATTTCTTCTGCTTGGCCCCCATTGCTAGAAGCAGGGGGTGACTTTCAAAGAAGCAACTTTGCGGTGGATGGAAAGAGGAAATCTTTGTTAATAATAAGAGCTATCCCAAGGGGGTGTGGGGTACCTGGGCCTGCAGATGTTCCACAAGGCAGAAGTCATGGTATTGTGCACCCTGAGTGCCAAGGACCATGCCTTTTTGGCTGTGGGCATTAAGAGGCACTCCCTAAAAGACGTGGTTCAGTGGGTAGCGCCCCAGACTGGGAGGTAGGGTGTGTGTTTGAGTGTAGACCGTGCCCTCAAGTCAGAATCATAGAATCTCCCTCGAAGGGCTCAAAGACGATGAACAGGAATGTCCCACAATCGCTCTACCCTTCCCTTAGAGACTTCCACGGATGGGGAGCTCACTAGGGTTCTGGAGGCAGCTCACTCCACTTTTGGACAGTTCTCATTATCTGCAAGTCTCATCCTGACGTCCATCGAAAGCAACTTATTGTTTCGTTCTTTGAATCAATATTCTATGTGCATAACTCAGTCCCTGGCACACAGTGGGATTTTAATAAATGCTTCTTGCTTGGTTGACTCAGCCTGCCTTCCTAACCTCCCCTCCATTTATCCCCGCTCCGCCTTGCCTTCTGGGGCCGAGCAGAATAAGGCTGGTCCCTTTTGTACCAGACAGCCCTTTAGATCCTAGAATAGACCAGCCCGGTCCTTCCCCAGCCTCCCCTCCTTTTCTTTTTTCCAGGCTGAAGGATGATTAGCCTTGTTGAGGTGGGTGCCTGAGGGCAGAATCAGGAACAATTAGGGTGGGGAGGTAGATTTCAGCTCCAACACAAAGAAAACTTCTTAACAATTAAAGCTCCACGTGGGAGGTGGCGCCCTTGGGAGAGTACCCAAGCTGAAGTCCGAAGCCTTCTGTCAGGGACATTAATGTAGAATCATGGGTTTATATGCAGAAGGGATCTTGGAGATCATCTGGTGAACCTGCTCACTTTACAGATGAGCCCTGTACAGGTCACAGAAGTAGTAAATGGCCAAGGCAGGATCTGAACCCAGGACCTCTGATCCTTTTCCCAATCTGGTAGCAGAAGAAAGGGAGCACAGGACGATTCCTCCATGTAACCTCTCTGAGATTCTTAGTGACAGGAATGAGAGAATCGCATCTAAGAGCACATGATGAAGGGCTGGCAGGAATTTAGAGAATCAGAAACCAAGGAAGGCTTCCCGGAGGAGATGGCGTTTGAGTTGATCCTTGGTTGATTTGGCAAAAGATGCAGGATGGACAACCACGGGGTTATAAGGTCATGGAATCATCCGATTTAGAGATGGAGGGGATTGTAGAGACCCTAAACTCAGCCCTCCATTTTATAGTTGGGGAAATCCCCTTTTAATGATGAGGGGCTTGGCCTGGCTGAGGCAGCTCCCCTGCTCTGTGTCCTCCATTGTAACCCCCAGGGCCATGGTGCATTATTCCTGCCAAGAACTCTGTCGAGTGCTTTATCTGCTGGTTCCACTCCTGGAAAGAGGGGATGAGAAACACAAGATCACCGCCACTGCCTTCTTTGTGGAGGTAAACACTGGCCTTGGCCATGAGAGGGTCAAAAGGTATTTAGTCAGCATCTACTATGTACCAGGCACTGAGTTCAGTGCTAGAGATACAAAGAAAGGCAAAAGACAGACCCTGCCCTAAAGGAGCTCACAGTCTAATGGCTCCAACAGGACTGAAAACATGGGCACTCATAGCACCATGGGGAAGGCTGAATGCTGAGGAATAACACTAATATGATGATGTATTTGCATAATGCCTTAAATAGAGTTATACAGGGATAGGGACAGAAGCTCTGATTTCAATGGGATAGGGAATTATCCAGTGAGGAACTCCCCTTCCCAATTGCAGCTCAACCCCTTTTCTGCATCATTGAGTCTTAGAGAACTTCCCAGTGTCCTAAAAGATTAAGTGACTTGTCCAGGGTCATGAAGCCAGGGCAGACTTGAACCCAGGTCTTCCCAGCTGACTAGAGATCTATTATTCCACATTATCTCCGGGGTGTGTGGGTGTGTATGTGTGTGTGAAATACAGTTTGTTGTAGTTACAGTCACATATATGAGTTTTATGTGTGCTATGCTACCTCATATACGCATATGTGCCACATGGAGTTTATATAGTTATTAATGTAATTCTTGATCTATATATAGCCATATATATTTTATACATAAAATAGGGGCCCAGCCAATGGAGCTATATCCCCAGAGTGTACCCATTAGCCAGGACTCTAATATATGTATATCTATTTCTATATCAATCTATCATCTCTCTATCCATCCATCCATCTACTTCTATCTCTTTGTAAGTATCTATCCACCTCATCTACCTATCTATCCATCCATCCATCATTGACACATCCCTCTATCTACCTATAGCTATCCATCTATCATCTACCTGTCCATACATACATTCCTCCATCTGTCTATCCATATATTCCTCTATTTCTCTCTTCCTCCTCCCTCATCCATCCATCCATCCATCTATCTATCCATCCAACTATTTATCTACGTATACTTCTATTTCTCTCCCCCTCCCTCCCTCATCATCCATTCACCCACCCATCTACCTACCTACCTATGTATACATACATCTACGTAAGAGTTAGCGTGGCTTGGTAGATAGAGAGTCAGCCTTGAAGCAAAGAAGACTTGGGTTCAAATTCTGCCACTGATACCTACTGGCTTTGTGATTAGCCAAGTGGCAAATTAGTTAACCTCCTATGGGAGCAGGCAACACCATATAAGACTACAAGTCATAAAGGAGGTGTGACTGACATTAGCAGAGGGAAGTTTCGTTACCTGGGAGTACCCTACATGTGTGGATGAGAAAATTTCTACCCCCTCATACTTCTTAGACCCCTTTATTTGACACCTGCCAAATCATGTCTTTGCTACTTAGAAAACGTGTGATTTTTTTGGCCTGGAGATACTCTCCATTGACACAGATGTCTTGTCACTTGTCACATAATGTTGGGTAATATCCTAATCTGTATCTGTATCTTTTCCTCCTATTAGACTACATCTTATCTAAACTTTGTATTAAGTACACAGTAGGTACTTAATAAATGTTTGAATGAATGACGAAACTGAGACTCAGAGAAGTCATAGGACTTAATAATTGAGTTTCTATGGTGCTTTGAGGCTTATAAAGTGCTTAAGTGATTATAAAAGGACCATGCAGATCATCCAGTCCATTTTATAGAGGAAACAGAGACCCAGAAAACGGAGGTGACTTGCCCCAAATCCTTCGTCCTTCCTTTCCTCTCTCTCCTTCCTTCCCTACTTTCTTTTCTTCCTTGCTCCCTTTCTTCTATCCTTTCCTTATTCCTTCCTTTCCTCCATTTTAAAATGAGGGGAAAGAGAGGGAATAAACATTTATTAAGTACCTAGTATATGCCAGGCAATATGCTGGGCACTTTACAAATATCTCATTTTATCTTCATGACAACAAGAGGTAGGTGATATTATTATCCCCATTTTATGATTTGGGGAAACTGAGGCAGACAGCTGTTAAGTCACTCACTCAAGGTTGCACAGCTAGTAAGGATCCGAGACCAGATTTGAACTCAGGTTCTCCTGACTCTAGACCCAGCACTTTATCCATTTCACCACCTAGCTGCCTGATATTCCATTGGTGAGGTGTAAATTCTATTTCTAAATTGCTGTGTGATCTTGATCAAGTGTCTTCCCTAGCAGGACCTCATTTTCCTTCTTTCAAAAATGGGAGAACAATTCTTGTCATGATCCCTCCACAAGGGAGAGAGACAGGAGAGAGAGAGAGAGAGAGAGAGAGAGAGAGAGAGAGAGAGAGAGAGGAGAGAGAGAGAGAGAGAGAGAGAGAGGGGAGAGAAATACAGAGACACAGAGAGAGAGAGAGAGAGAGAGAGAGAGAGAGAGAGAGAAGAGAGAGGGAGGGAGAGAGAGGAGAGAGAGGGAGGGAGAGGAGAGAGAGAGGAGGGAGGGAGAGAGAGAGAGAGAGAGAGAGAGAGAGAGAGAGAGAGAGAGGGAGGGAGGGAGGGAGAGAAGAGAGGAGAGAGAGAGGGAGGGAGAGAGAGAGAGGAGAGAGAGAGAGAGAGGAGAGAGAGAGAGAGAGAGAGAGGGAGAGAGAGAGAGAGAGAGAGGAGAGGGAGAGAGAGAGAGAGAGAGGGAGAGAGAGAGAGAGAGAGAGAGAGAGAGAGAGAGAGAGAGAGGGAGGGAGAGAGAGAGAGAGGGAGGGAGGGAGAGAGAGAGAGAGAGAGGGAGGGAGAGAGAGGGGAGACACCTGTTGTAGCCATTTTCTCCGGGAGTTTAGCCAGAAAGGTGGAAGAGATGAGGAATGATAGTGAGCTGGGATGGAAGGCTCTAGTGAGGGTGAAAATGAGAAATGTTTGGGAAAGTAATTTGATCAACATTGATTAACTGAAGTGTTTTAAACTGGTTCTCTGTATGAACAGCAGAATTAAGCCCTGGAATAAATAAGTATTTAAATCATTTATTCAGAAACCTCACCTCTGAGGAACACAGCTGGAAATGAGAAAATAGGTGAAGACAGCCCTCAGGTAGCTGATATAACCAAGATCCATGTTTATTAGAAGGGAAGGGACCTCAGAAAACCCTATTAGCTCTGTATTTTAGCTCTGTACTTACTATTAGCCCTGTACCTACTCGCTCAACCCATACGTATGTAATAATATAGATGTAATAATAATAATATCAGGTCCCCAGAGTGTGGCTGGTTATGTCAGGGCTACCCTGAGGGGCAGTGGTTCCTTCTGTTGCCATTGGCTTGGATCCCCAATATTGGGGACCAGTTATACTTAGCACTTTTTCCACATCATTGATTAGCCCCATGATTAACACCTCGGTATCAATTTAACCAATTAACATTAATTCACTTTTAGAAAGGGATATTTACTGGAAAGGTACAGAAGTAGAGCACATTCTGCCTGCCCCCTAATAGGGGGTCCTAAGGGAGAGAGGGCTCAAACTCAGCTGGTTGTTACAAACCATCCACCCTTACCAAGGTCACTTTCCTAAGTGGCATGGCCACTGGACAAATGGGTCCCTTGCTGCAGGACATGGTGTCTCTGGTAGTTACACTGCTGGGCTGGACTTCAGCACTGTGCTGCTTAGCCCAGAGCCAGGCACATAGTAGGCACTGCGTTAATAAATAATGGATGTTTATTGACTGACTATTGACTGCTTCTGGAGAACTCTGACTTAGATCTTTCAAGGTCTCACAAAGCCTTCCACGAAAGGGGGAAAAAAAGACCCAAATGGGAAGTGGTCCCATTCTAGACACAGGCTTGTGCTCAGGGCCATGGGCTTACAGCTCATTAGGAGGGAAAGCACTCTAGAAATATAAGGCGGAACAGGAAGGGCCCTGCACTTCGAGTCAATGATCCTGGGTGAAAGACTCCATTCCACACTGACTAGTGGTTGAACCTGGATGAATCACTTTACTATTCTGAGCCTCAGTCCGTAAATGACAATAAAAGACTTGCACTTCCTATCTCACAGGGATGTTGTGAGGAAATCACTTTGTAAACCTTAAAGTACCATATTTTTCATCCTCCTCCTCATCATCAGGCAGTATTTTGGTGACGCTGGTGATGCTAATGAATGCTCAGAGGGGCTTCCTGTTCCTTCCACTTCCCCTCCTCCTCCCCTTACCCCTCTTTACCTCTCTCCCCCCTCTCCTTCCCCTTCCCTTTCCACCTCTTCCTCTCCCTTTCCTTCCATGTTTTCCTCTCCCTCCCCTTCCCTCTGTTTCCACCTCTCCCTCTGACCCTCTCCCTCTTCCTTCTCTTTCCTCTCCTTCCTCCTCCCTCTCCTCCTCCTCCCTCTCCCTCCCCCTCCCTTTCCTTCCCCTTCCCTCTGTATCCATCTCTCCCTCCCCCTTCCCTCTTCCCTCTCCTTCTACCTCTTCCTCTTCCTCTCCTTTTTCCTCCCCTCTCCCTCCCAGCCACCAGCCCCAGAGGAAATGTCCAATTATCTCCTTAGCTCCTTCGCATGGAGCAGGTGAAGAGGATTCCAGAGGAGTACTCCCTGGGCCGAATGTCCCAGGGCTTGACCAACGAAGACCCCATCATGAAGGTGCTCTGTATCAGGGGCTTGGTCCTTCTGGCCCACAGGTCAGAAAAGGTGAGAGAGCTAAGGGAGGAGGTGAGGAGGTGGTGACTGGCAGGATTCAGAGGGCGCAGGGGAGAGGTTCCCTGGGCAGGGGGATTCCTGAGTTATTTTTGCTGCCGAATCCACCCCCTCTCCTTCCAATGACCTCGGGCCCAGTACCTTTCCCTGTTCAGAACTTCAATGTCTCCATCTGTAAAATGGGTAGCCCATCTCCCCCAGGAACCAATACCCCTAATGACCCCTGACCTATTCAGAATACAAAGCGCTAGCCTACACTCCAGGCAAAGATCTCTCTCTCTCTCTTTCAGGTGAGAAAACTGAAGACTAAAGAGATTAAGTCTTCATTAGCAACGTCAACGTCCTCGACACAAAACACAGACCAATTTTGTGTGAGACTTCGGGCTTGGTTTGGGGGACGCAGAAGAGCGTCAGGCATGGTCCCTGCCCTCGGGGAGCTCCCAGTCTGTCGGGGAGTCGGCACGGAGAGCAGGCCAGCACAAGTCTATCCGTGCTAAGGACTGGGCAAGCCTTACGGAGTGTATATGTCGCCGGAATTAAGGAGGGCGCGGGGCAGCATGGCTCAGGGTGGTCGGGGAAGGCTTCCTGGGAGGCAGCCTTACAGCCATCTAGGCTGACCCCCTTTCATTTTGCAAATGAGGGAACTGACGGCCAGAGAGAAGGAGTGGCTTTCCAAAGTCACCCAGCTAGAAAAGGGTAGGAATGAGTTACGTGCGGAGGGAGAAAGGGGCATTTCAGAAAGGAACAGTAAACCTAGGATTCCAACCTGGGTCCTTTGGCTCCCAGGCAAGGGCTCGCTCCTCTCCCTTTCTCACCACAGCGTGCCAAAATCCAGGCTCTTCTGCCCTCCATGATGAAGGGCCTGCAGTGGGTGGATGGCTTGCTGGCAGTGGAGGCCGTCAGCAACCTCAAGACCATCCTGAAGTCTCAGAACAAGAAGTCCAATGACGTCACCATTTACCTGGAAATCCTGCAGGTTCTCCAGCCTCACTTCAATGACGTAAGGGCAAAGAGGGGAAGGGAAAGGTGGGTGGATCGGGGGGCGTGACCACGACTCTGGCTCCGGAGGCCACCGAGAGCTTTCGGGTTGGGGCGAGCCGTGTTCTAGTTGGGGGCCTCAGTTTCCTCCTTTGTAAAAATGGGACTTGGTAATACCGAAAATCCTTTTGAGCTTTGACATTCTCTATTCTGAGGCTGCCCTTCGCCCCACCCCACACACATACACCCCGATCCAATCACTCCGTGACCCGGTGGTTCCTTCTTCAGAACAGGGAGGAGGTGCGTTTGACGGCCATCACCCTCTTTGGTAAGGTGGTCCGGCTGCTGCGGAGCCCCTGCAAGCCCCTCACAGAGCAGCAGTTGGTGAACTGCCTGGTACCTCTGATCCTGCAGCTTCAGGAGGGGAACCCTGTCGTGGGCAAGGTGAGTCTGACCGTCTGTAACCCTGCAAAGGTAAATGGTGAGAGGAGTGGGGAGATGAGGGTGTTCCTTATTTTAAGCAAGCCTCCAATGAAGGTGTGTCTCATTTAATACAAGCCTGCTCTAAGACAGAAAATCTCTAGGTTGGAAGGGACTTTCTTCTAGTCCTGCCCCCATGCATCACCAAGTGGCCCTCCAACTTCCTACTGAAGGAAGATCTATCTGTGAAAGGGTGCTACTGGGCAGGGAAAATTACCCTCCTATTCTTGTGACTCTGGGTCTGGTCTCAGCTTGGGTTCAGCAGGGGCATGGCGTCTTGGACCTGGCTCTGAGTCTTGGCTTTGCCGCTCACTAGTTGAATCTCTTTGGAGAAGCCACCTCCTTTCTCTTAGCCTCATTTATAAAATGAAAGATAAAGGTACATAGGCACTTCCTTCCTCCCTCATGGGGTTGCTTTAGTAAAGTGCTCTATAAAAACATGATCCCACCCCCTTCCAATCCACCTGCAGAAATGTAAGAAGACCTTGTCCTATTGCTGCTACCACATGGCTTGGGTCCTGCCAAAAATGACGTACAGCAAAAAGCCATGGGACATCGGTCAGCAGACCATGGCCAAGATCTGCAAGTACTTGGTGAGTGCTACCCTGGGGAAGAAAGACACCGCAGCCCAGTGAGCACTTATCAATCACCTCGCATGTGGCCAAGTTCTATGTTGGGTGCTGGAATACAAGGCTAAAGTCCCTGCTTTCAAGGAGTTTCCATTCTATTTGGCAGAAACAATTTAGACTCAGAAAATTAAATAATATGTACAAAATTATACAAAGTACTTTCAACAGGGTTATTAATGTGTGTTATTAATCAGGGGCAGGGATCAGGCATCTGCACTGTGCCTTGTAGGAAGGCAAGGATTATATGAGACAGAGGAGAGTGGGAAATGCATTCCCCTAGACATGGGAGAGCATCTGTACAAAGACGTGGAGGTGGGAAATGGGACTTCAGGCTCAGAGAGCACATCACTCCTCTTTTGAGTCTCAATTGCCTCATCTATAAATGAGGAGGCTGACAATATGATCTCGAAGGTCCGTCCCATTTCTAGATCTGCAAGAATCTTAAGTAGTCTAGTGTAATTGGAAGACAGAGTGTGTACAATAATAGGAAATAAAGCCAGAAAGGGACAGACATGCATTTACAGAATGAAATCCTCAATGACACCCTGCCTGTCCAAGTTCCCTCTTTGTTAGGTGTTGTGGCTGGACCATACTGTGTACCATCAGCCTCCCCATTGCCCTCCAGGAAAGGGGAGAAAAACAGAGTAAGAATTTTTCAAGCGTCTACCATGTGTCAAGCACTGTACTAAATGCTTTACAGATGTTATCTCATTGGAGCCTTTGGGGGGTCCTCCCTTTTAATTCTTCTGAGACCATCATATTCCATAACATGTAGTCATGTGACAACTCCAGTAAAATATTGATATATACAAATATAGGGTGTCCCAAAAGTCTTAATGCAGTTTACACCTGTGAAAGCTTCAAATGGCACAGTATATGCAAATGCCTAAAGTCACACACAATATTCTGTGGTCAGAACATTAGAGAACAGCAAATATTGTGTTAAGTGAAGGCAGAGAGGGAAAGAGTCACTGCCCACTGGCAGGTGTCAAAAAGGCCCTAGTTAAGCTTTCTCATTTTCTAGAACAGGGAACTGAGGCCCTGTCAAGAAAAGAGACTGAAAATGCTACAATCTTAGAATTGCCTAGAAGAGACCTTGGAAAGTATTTAAATGCAACTGCCAAGTTTATTTTTAAAATCTTACTTGAATTAAGTAATTAAATCTCATATATATGTGTATATATGTATACATATATGTATATACACATCTGCAATTATGTGAGATAATTTCCTTTAACCTTCTTCTCCCTCCTCCTGTAGTATATTCCTCTTTCCATGTCTATCCATTCTTCTTTTAAGATCACTAAGCCCTAACAGAACCACTCCCAGGCCTACTGTTTAATTAAACTCCTTCTGTGATGCCCTGATGATGATGGGGTTCAAAGGGACACATGTATAATCTCCCCATATTTGAATGTAAACAGTTTATCCTTATTTAGTCCCTTATGATTATTCATTTATTTTTACCTTTTTATGTTTCCCTTTGACTTTTATGTTGGAGTTCAAAGTTTCTATACAACTCTGGTATTTTTGTCAGGAATGCTTGTAAGATCTCTATTTCATTAAAGGTTCATTTTTTTCCTTTGTGTGAGATCTCAGTTTTGCTAGGTGAGTTATTCTTGGCCTGTAAGCTTACATCCTTTGCCTTTTGGAATATCATAGTCCAAGCTCTCCACTCCTTCATTGAGATGGCTGCTAAATTGTGTGTGATCCTGACTGTGGCTCCTCAGTACTTGAATTCTTTCTTTCTGACTGCTTGCAATCTTTTTTGTTGGACCTGAGAACTATGGATTTTGGCTATGATGTTCCTGGGAGTTTTCATTTGGGAGTTTCTTTCAGGAGGTGACAGATGGATTCTTTCTATTTCTACTTTGATCTCTGGTTCTAAGAGATCTGGGCAGTTTTCTTTTGTGATTTCTTGAAATATGTGTAGGCTCTTTTTTTGGTTATGGCTTTCGGGTAGTTTAATGATTCTTGCATTTTTTCTCTTTGATCTGTTTCCAAGTCACTTGCTTTTGCAATGAAATACTTTATATTTCCTTCCTTTTTCTCTCTTATGACTTTATTTTAATATTTTCTATTGTCTCATGGAGTCATTGATTTCTATTTGGTCCATTTTGATATTCAGGAAGTTTGTTCCTTGGACGTTTTGTGCCTATTGTGACAAACTTAATTTCCTTTCCAGTTCTTTTTCCCATAGTTCTCATTTCTTTTCTAAATTTTCCCCTAGTGCTCTCAATTAGTTTATAAATTTTAAAAAATCTCTTTTTAAAATTATTGCTTCATCTCCTCAGTAATTCTTTTCTATTTGGACACAAGCCCAAGCTGTGTTTTAATTTGAGGCTTTGCTCATAAATGCTCTGGAGTCATTCTCTTCCTCCAAGTTTGCATATTGAATATATCTATTACCATAATAGTTTTTTATGGTGGGATTATTTATTTGCTTGCTTATTCTCCCAGCCTACTTTATGACTTTAGATTTTATTTTGGGGCAAATCCCTGTGTCTAGGCTGGTCCTGCTGCTACTTTTCTTGTGGTATTGAGTCTTACGTTGTTCCAGCATGTCAAAGACAGCTCAGCTGGGGAGACCTGTAAGCTTTCAGCACTTCCAGAATGGCTGATCTAGGGTAAAGTGTGATCACTGTCTCCCTTGGTCCAAAGTCTACAAGTTCTTGAGTTTGGGTCAGAGTAACAATAGATGCTGCTGGACTCTGCCTCTAACAGTCAGCTGGAAAATTCTATTGGTTCAATGACAGGTCTAAATCCAAATATACTGTATTTGCTTTTAGCTAAGGAGAATTAGATGAAAACTGTGATTCCTCCCAGTTGTAGTATTCTACGCTCTAAGATTCATTTTACTGCTAACATTCTCTCTTCCAAGGTTCTCCCAGCTCTGATGTTCTCTGTTCTGATGCATAAGAGAATGGAGAACACTGGATTTGGAGTCAGGAAAACTCGAGTTCAAATATGACCTCAGGGGGCAGCTAGGTGGCGCAGTGGATAGAGCACCAGCCCTGGATTCAGGAGGATCTGAGTTCGAATATGACCTCAGACACATAACACTTACTAGCTGTGTGACCTTGGGCAAGTCACTTGACCCCATTGCCTAGCAAAAACAAAAACAAATCTGACCTCAGACACTTAACAGCTATGTGACCCTGACCAAGTCACTTAATCTCTGCCGTAAAATAGTGATTAATAATAGCACCTCCTTCAGTAGATATCTTAAGGCTCTAATGAGATAATATGTAGAGCACTTTGCAAACCTTAATGTGCTGTGTAAATGCTACTATTATATCAGCTGAGGACGCCCCCAGCTCAGACACCCCAAATTTTAGCATTCTTTGTTGCAAGGCTCTATGTCTGTTGACTAGATGCCCCACTGCCCTGGCACTAGAGTCCCAGAGAGTTCTCTTCCATCAGTTCATTTCTGAGCAAGCTTTGTTTCTGGTCCTTCCCATAATAGCAACTCACAATCTGTCACTATGTGATGTGAAACTTAGGATGACTGGAGGAAGATGTGATCTCAAACCTCCCCAAGGCAGGTACCAAGACTCACCACTCTAGTGGAACCTTGGAACTTCCCTCCAAAGATTCTGATTGTGTCCCCATCCTCTCCTACGCATCCCTTGAAACTCTCATGTCTTCCCACAAATTCACCTCTAAGGTTCCACCCACAATGACCTGGGCTTTTGAGTTGCATGGATTCCAGTGGAGCACAGGGGCTGGCAATCCACATTTCTATTGCATTTTAAAGTTTTTAAAAATGTATTCATTATCTCATTTAAACCATAATCTTTGTCTCCACAACCTTGTGAGATCTATAGTTTGGGTGTTATTACTCCATTGTCTAGATGAGGAAATGGAGGGTCAGAGAGGAGAAAGGGACATGCTCAAAGGGTATAGTCCCAAGATATAGGTGAGCCAAGATTCAGACTCCGGTATTCTGTGATCTGTCTCACTACACTGAGATGCTTGTCCCTATTTTGCAGAGCAGAAGACTGAGGCTTGGCTAAGTAATAGAGACTCCTTGGCCTCTATTGCTATGATTTTTATTGGACATCAGAGAGGATAACCTAGACTTAGCTCTCTTCCAGATGTTAGGGTAGGGGATAATAACTTTAAAAAATCTGGCTTGGGGGTGGGGAACACAGAGAATTCAACAAGGTCATTTCTCAGTTGACAGATGGTATACTGGGGGGGGCGGGTTTGGCCTAGGTGAATGCCCACCGAGACAGTGCCTTAGTGTTCCTGACCCAGAGCCTGGAATATACCAAAAGCCCTCGGGCTGCCCTCCGGAGGAGTGCAGTCACATTTATAGGTAAACTCTAACCCTGCGTTGGTATCTCTGGTGGTGGGGCTGGAGGTGGGTTCACTTTGGATTGAATGGGGCCCATTGTAAGACAAGCTTCAAGAAGGAGGCCAAGGGTGAGAACCCAACGTTAGATCACTGTTTGTATTACTTCCCATTCTGTCCTGTAACCTATAATTTGTCTGCAGATGGACATATTCCTTCCCCTCTCTTAGCTGCCCCAGAGGCCACTGGGAAACATCTCACCTCAGACACTCATTGCCTTGTGACCTAGGGCAGGTCAATCAATCTCCCTGGGTCTCAGTTTCCTCATCTGTAAAATGAGGGTTTCAATCAATGGCCTCTGAGGTCCCTTGCAACTGGAGATCGATAATCCCTGGAAGGGTGAGAGTAATTATTTACATCCTTTCTACCACAGACTTGGGGGCCAGATAAGAACAACAGAAGCAATCCCAGTGTAGTATATTTAATAGAGAGCTGACCTGGGAGTCAGGAGAGCCTGCGTCAAGTACAACCTCTGACCCATCCTGGCTATGTGACCCTGGATGAGTCACTTCCATTCTCAGCCTCGGGGAAGTTCTTTAAGACTCTCCATTGCAGACCTGTGAAGGTGGAGACCCCCTCACACCAGGGAAATCCCAGAGCCAGCTCTCTATCCCCACACACTGGTAGTGCTTAAAGGTTTTCAAAGAGCTTTCATTTTACATTTCTCTTCTCAATGATCCCTGCACTGCCCCAGTGGGATAAGCAGAGCAACTAGTTACTAGCCCATTTTACAGTAGAAGAAATGGAAGCCCATAGAGGTAATGGGTTTCGCTCAAATTCATACAGCCATTGATGATGTTGGGACTCATCTGGCTCTCCTGAAACCCAGGCTGGGGCTTCCTTTTCCTTAGCTAGGCCTTGTCTCTCGGAGGATTGGCACGAGAGCAGATCTTGTCTTGTTTTTGCTGTTACAAGGGAAAGGGAATCTGCAGGACCCCAAGGATTCCCTCCCTTTGCACACGTTCTGACATTTCCATGGTTGGGAGGTTGGGGTGAAGTGGGTGAGGTTGAGCTGTGCTTATTTAAAGGCTGAGTTGTGGGCTGTGGTCTGGGGGCTTGGCTGGGGGTGACAGCAGCTGAGCCTCCCTTTGGGATTGTGTTTGAAGGGTCCCTGGTACCCTGCATGGAGGGCATGCTGACCGAAGAGAACCTAAATGAAGTGAAGGCAGGTGAGTTAAATGTTTCTCCTCTGTCTGTCTCCTCTCTCTCTTCTCTCTCTCTCTCTCTTCTCTCTCTCTCTCTCTCTCTCTCTCTCTCTCTCTCTCTCTCTCTCTCTCTCTCTCTCTCTCTCTCTCTCTCTCTCTCTTTCTCTCTCTCTCCCTCTCACAAAGTGAGGGTGAGTTTCCAGAGTTGCCACCTGGTTGTCACAAGATGAAAGCAAAACCTTCAGAGACGCCTCTTCCCTCTCAATGACCACCACTTTTCTCCTGAGAGTTTCCTTTCCTCCCTCTTCAGTCTCTCTCATCCTCATCGCTGAAGGAACTAAGGATGTTTAGATTAGAGACAAGAAAACTCGTGGAGGACATGATCTGTTTTCAAGAACTGGGTGGTGCTCGTGTGGGAGAGGGCTTGGATCTGGTCCCTTTGTTAGGAACAACGGGGACCCCTGGTAAGGAGGCAGATTTCGGTCAGGTGTTAGGAAAACGCTTCCAAACAAGAACTGTCCAGCAGTGGAATGGGGCACCTCAGGAGGTGGGGTGTTCTTTCTCATTAGAGGTCTGCAAAAGAAGGCTGTGGCTGCTCGTTGCGTGTGAAGCGGTGGGGATTCTTTTCAAATTTGGCTTGGCCTAGATGGTGTCTGAAGTCCCATCCAACTCAAAAATGCTGTGATGTCCATGCATACCTCAGCATGGACACTCATTATACCCCCTACTCACTCTTCCTTTTAATGGGGAGGTGTGCCATGCATACTGACAAGTAATATGTGATCATTTGAAAAGACAGTACTAAGGAATGGAATATAAAACACATTCAGGCGAGTAGCACGAGACAAAAAGAAACTAATGGGTCGGGGGTCAAGGCTTTAAATGCCAGGCCAGAGAGGGACCTTGAACTGAATAGGGAGCCACTGCCGACCCGTGAGCCAGAAAGTGTGGGAAGGAAGCCAGCAGAAGCTCCCTCCGGGGCCACTCTGGGCGCAGCTGACTTGGGAAATCCCCTGTTTTGCTCTCTCCTCCTCTCCCCTGGCTCCCATCTTCCCCATCCTCACAGCCCTGGAGGCCCTGAGGCACGACCCAGAAGCATCAGTGTGCATCTTTGCAGCCCAAGCCCAGGATCACATTTTAGCCAGTTGCTGGCGGAGCTCCTGGCCCCTTCCCCGGGGAGACGCTTGGGTCTGCGACCCGGCCACCAACCACCGATGGAACTCCAGCAAAGAGAACCTCCCTCTCAGCCATCGCCGAAAGTCGTCGATCTTGGACTCACTGAGGGCCTGGAAGAAGAGTTTAAAGTAGCCCTCGGCAGCTGCCCAGCCTGCCTGCTGGCACTATAAATGCTAGATTGGGTAGCTGGTGTCTGCGTGTTCTTGCGAAAGGAGGGAGGAGGCCCTCATTCTCGGGCTCGCGGTGCGATAGACTCACATTCTGTTGGGGGACGAAATGTGCACACATGAAGAGCAAGTCTAAAACTACGCGAAGTATAAAGTAATTTGGGGAGGAGGGGTCACTACCAACTTGGGAGGGGGGTTGCATCAGGAAAGGCATCAGGCTTCGAAGTAAATTGGTGCAGAAAAGTGGGGACAGTCTTGGAGTGCATTGGCGGTGAGGCACACATCGGGATCGTGTGCTCAAAGCAAACCCTACTCAACACGGTCCTTAAGTACTCCGTGCCTCAGTTTCCCCTTCTGTAAGATGAGACTAACTGGCCTCGGAGGTTCACAGAATTCGAGTGCTGAAAGGGACCTTAGAAGCCATCTAATCCTCATTTTACAGAAGGGGAAACTGAGGCCCAGGGAAGTGAAGTGACTGGCCCAAGGTCACAGGGGTAATAAGTGTCGGAGGTCGGACCTGAATCCAAGTCCGAGCCAGGGCTCTCTGCACTTTCCACTCCCTAAGTCTACACTCGCCGTCTTCGCCGTCCTCCCCTCTGCCTCTCCCGCCAAGCCCCGCCAGGCTCTCTGTGGGCGGAACTCGAGGGCGGGGCCCGCGGGGCCCTTCGGCGCCGGAAGTGGGGACGGAAGTCGAGACGGACCGACCGAGTGAGGGCGGAAGTCGGGGAGGCCGGCGCGGCCTAGGAGCAGGATCGCTGATGGAGGCGGAGGAGCAGCAGCGGCCGCCGGCCGAGGGGCCGGGGCCGGGGCCAGGGCCGAGGAAGGAGGAGGAGGAGGACGCCATGGACGCCTTCCTGGACAAGTTCCGCAGCCAGCAGTATCGGGGCCGCCTGCACGAGGACACGTGGGAGCAGGTGCGGCCGCGGGCGGCGGGGCCTCAGTTTACCCCTCCGTCCCATGGGTCGTGCCCATTGGACAGATAGGGAAGCCGAGGCAGGCAGAGGGAGGGAATCCCCGATAGAAACAGCCGCGGCCGCTGTGGCTGTCGCACGGGACGGTTTGCGAGGCGCCCCCCCCATCCAGGAGGGAGGAGGGCCTGTTACCCCCTCCCCCATTTTACAGATGAAGAAACTGAGGCCGATGGAGCTTCCGTGACCGGGGTCCGGGGCAGGATTCGAACCCCGGACTTCCGACTCCCAGGTGTAGGACTCCTGGACCACCAGGGACCCCCCAACAAATCAATGGCAGGGCCAGGGTGTGGTTCCCGCCCTGCTCTACCCTGCCCTTGCCCAGAGCCTGCCTCCTAACGCGAACAAAGTGCTCTGCACACAGTAGGCGCCTGAAATTGGCTCGTCCTTCTCCCCTCTAGGGGCAGCTGGGTCTGGGGGCGAGGAGACCCGAGTTCAAACCTACTAGCTGGGTGACCTTGGGTGAGTCATTCGCCTCTGCCTCGGTTTCCCCATCTGTAAAATGGAGATGATAATACCACCTATGTCACAAGGTTGTTATGAAGATCAAAGAGATAACATTTGTAAAGCACTTAGCACAGTGCCTGGCACATAGCGGGCCCTCTATAAAAGTTATTGTCATTAGCTGTTATTTCTGCTTGCCTCCTTGCTTGGTGGTCTCTCTGGGTCACAGAGTGATGCCTCCCCCTGATCCTGACCCAAGGCAGTGTCAGCCAGGACTCCTTCACAATCAGAGCCAGCCCAAGCCCCTCCTACGCTGCCGTGGGAGGTGGGGGTTTGGAGGACAAAGGCTAGACCCTCTCCTGGCACATTGTGGGAAGGAGGCTTGTGGACTGCATGGCCTCTGAGCCCTGACCAAGCTCTCTCTGAAAGGTGTGGGGGTTTCAGTCCTTGGAACACAAGGTAAAGTATAGGCAAATATTTAACAACTGGCTTTCAAAAATGTAATGATGTGACACATTTCAAAGTTTAATCTGCATCATTAAGATTTTCCCTACCCCTTTCTTAAGTCTAGACAATTAATAAAACAACAAATGAAGCCTTGATTTGTAATGATTGCTACATACCCAGGTATGCACGCTCACACTGAAAATTTAACAGTTGGCTCATTCTGAGCTGGCTCCAGCCGACCCCTGGGTGTGGGAAACATTGAGTCTTGGCCTCTTGCTTGGGGCCTGGGGAAATGATTTGTAGATTTCTAATTTTAAAAGTCAAAGTCAGACAGAAGTTTTGATGGTCCTCTTTGCGACCGGCCAGGCTTCAGTCGGGAATGGAGGAGGGTTCTGTTTACACTTTTCACAGCCTCAAGGAGCAAGGAGGGCCTCCCAGGACATCTGTCCAAAGAGCACAAGTCTGCCAGGAGCCCCTGTGGTTCCCCTCACTAGTGCTGCCCCCCCTCTTTTTGAACTCCCCCTTGTTGTCTGTGCCCTTATGTCCCCCTCGAAGATCTCGGACTATCCGTGTGCGCCCAGCACAGGACCTAGCACTTCGCTAGTGCTCGTGATTGGCCATCCGCATGGAGGAAGCCCCTTAGTGTTTTTCTTGGTTGAGACAAAGCTCTGAGATGAGGACTTTGCATTTTAAAACTGACTTCTGTGTATTTCTTCCCTTCATTGATTTCTTCCAGGAGTTGGAGAAGATCCCGATGTTCATGAAGGAAGCCCCATCGGAAATCAATCCCCAAGAAAATCCCGAGTTGGCTTGTCTGCAGTCCCTCATTTTCGATGACGAGAGACCCCCAGAAGGTGCAGGAAATGTGGCGGCTGGAGTGGGGGGCCCTAGGCAGGTCACCACACAAGTGCTGTGAGGCACGGCCTGTTCTTCTGATGGGTTGGAAATCTGAACGATAGGGCTGATGCCAGCTACGTCGCTGGGCTGCTGGGAGGCACTCCCCTCGCTGTGGAGGACCTCACGTCTCAGCTCTGCCAGTCCATAGCTCCATGCCTCAGTTTCCTCGGTTGTCCAGTGGGTGATTGAGGAAGCTCCCTTCCAGCTCGAAATCTGTGATTCTGTAATATAGGTGAAAGTGCTTTATGATCAGAAAGTGCTGTGAGAAAATAAGGAATCACAAGTATCACGTGTCGTGCTCAGGAAATTGTGGCTCGGCAGGAGGGGGGGCTGGGAGCGACCTTGTTCTTTGTCTTCTCAAGCATCCTGTAGGAGCTTAATTAATGTTTGCGGACTGATTGGGGTGTCTGGAATTTGTTTAAAAACTGAGACCGCTGTCGGGTTTTGTCTTTGGCACATAGTAGGTGCTTCATAAATGAAGGTGCCGAGGTGGTGTCTGGTCCCTGCAAGGCCCCCGGGGAAGCCTTTTGGGGAGGGAGGAGGGATACAAACCCTTGTCGTCCTTCCACAGAGCAGGCCAAGACCTACAAGGATGAAGGCAACGATTACTTCAAGGACAGAGACTACAAGAAAGCAGTGGCTTCGTACACCGAAGGGCTCAGGAAGAAGTGCTCGGACCCCGATCTCAACGCCATGCTTCTGACCAACCGTGCAGCGGCACAATATCACCTGGGTGAGCCAGCCGCTCAGACCTTCCTGTCTGGAGGCCAGGGCAGGGCAGGATCGGGCCCGAGGCTCCTCCATGTGCAGTGCATGTGTGTCTGTGTGTCTGTGTGTGTCTGTGCGCGCGCTGTGACCATGCTGGGGGGATTGCAGGGGGTGGGGAGCATCTGTGAGCCCGCAGGGGTCTCCGGGCTGCCGGGCCCAGAAGGGCCAGGATCTCCTTCCCATTGCACACTGAGCGACATTGATCCATCCGTTGTACACTACGCGGGGCCCTAGGGCCCCTCAGCTAAAGCTGGAAAGACTGTCTGGTTTTATGAATAGGAAATCTGATGCCCAGGGAGGCAGTTTGCCCGAGGTGCCCAAGGCGATAGCGTTGGCCCTTCCAGGGGAGATTCACCGGGGCTCCACAGATCTGTGTCTCCCCTCAGACACAGACTGTCTGGGCAAGGTGCCTCAGTTTCCCCACCTGTAACCCGGAGCTCAAGGCAGGCCGTCCCTCTCAGGGTTGTTGTGAGGGTGGCTGAGACCATCTACATGAGGCATCTTCTGACCCTTTACAGCCGCCAGGCACGTGAGCTGTTGGTGCTCCGTCCCAGGTGACCGGCCGCTTTGGCCGCCTCCGGGGCCCCAGCCCTGTCCTTGGCTTGATTTGCTTTAGAAATTCAAGCAGAATGGACTTGTGATTGACGGGTGGCTGCTCTCCTCCTCTGTTAGGCAACCTGCGCTCTGCTCTGAATGACGCTGCGGCGGCCAGGAAGCTTAGGCCGAGCCACCTCAAAGCCATCATCAGAGGTAAGCTGCAGAAGGAGACCCCTGCCACATGGGCACATGCACACATGCACGTGCATGCGGGTATACGCACATGCATGCACACACATGCATGCACATACACGTGCACACACACGTGCATGCAGGCACACGCACACACATGCACTGCATGCAGGTATATGCACACACGTGCATGCATACACATACACACATGCACGTACATACAGGCACACACACACACACACACACACACACACACACACACACACACACACACGCGCGCGCGCACATACACGTGCACACACACAAAGGGAGCCGGGGCCTTGAAGGGTGGCCTTGGTTTTGTATGGCTCATGGTCATTGAGAGGCTCATAGAACTATAGCTGAAAGGGGGCTCGGGGCCCTCGAGTCCAACTCCTCATTGTACAGGGGTGATTTACCCAAGGTCACGCTGCTGGTAAGAATCAGAGGTGGGATTAGAACCCAGGTGCTTGGGCTCCAGTTGAGGCCCACCATGTTCTCTTGGGTGCCCTGTAGGGACATGGAGAGGACCGGGGGCATTAGAAGCTCTTCTCGCCAAGCCCGGGCCTGGACGGTTGGACCAGAAGGGCTTAGAATCCTGAGGCTGTGTTGTGCCCATGGCAGGAGGGAGCTCCTGGGTCACAGGGATCCCAGAGTCCTATCTACTCAGGCCTTTTGTGGAGGGCCAGTCTACACTGGTGCGGTGACTAGTGAGAGCTCAGGGGAGAGAAAGGGAGGGAGGGAGAATGAGGGAAACAGAGAAGGAGAGAGGAGACAGACGGAGAAAGTAGGGAGAGAAAGAAACAGAGAAAGACGAGAGTGGTGGGGAAGAGGAGGAGAGAGAGAGAGAGGACGAGGGGAGGAGGCCAGCGGGGGTGTACAAGAGACGTTGCTCCAGAGCCCAAAGACGCGGGTTCAGGTCCTGCCTCTGAAGCATTGGCATCGTGGCCATGGGTGAGTACTTAATCTCTGCATCTGTATCGTGTTTAAAGGCTTGCAAAACAACATTACAGTAACCCTGGAAAGGAGGTGCTGGGGTTATCTCCATTTGATGGATGAGGAAACTGAGGCAGACAGGTGACATGACTTGCCCAGGATCACCAAGCTAGTAAACGCCTGAGGCAGGATTCAAACTTGGGGCTTCCTGCCTCCAGGCCCAGGGCACCTTCCCCAAATTTCCCTGCACTCTAGGGTCCCTCCCAGCTCTGAATATTGAGACAGTGAGTTCATTCTGCCAGGGAGCCCCATGGGTGAGACGGCTGAGGCAGTGAGGGAACCTGAGTTCAAATCTGGCACCATCACCTGCTCCCTTAGGCAAGTCACTTAACCTCTTTGAGCCTCAGTTTCCCCTCCTGTAAAATGGGCAGGGGGTGGGCTTCATAGCCTCTGAGATTCCTGCTAGCTCCAGATCTCTGATCCTGTAAAAGGCAAAACACTCATTTTAAAAAAGATTCCCCAAAGTGCAAACTAACTCTTTTTATCTTAGGATTTCATGCTGAAATGGAAAACACTTCTTTGAAACGTAATTATGGCTGCACGAGCAGCTGTACGTTCCTTTGTTATTTTGCATCAACCGATCAAAAGGCAGAAGTTTTAATTGAAAGACAAGGGATCCCACCTTTGAGGGCAGATTGGGCCTTCCCAGGCTCATGTGGCCTCCCCCTTTTGTCAGCTGAAGACCGGTCTGCGTCTGTGCAGTGATGTTTTTACTCAAATTGCACCTTTTCTTTGAGAGGCTTAAAGATTCTTTGAAGGTTATAATTTATTCATCAGATGTTAATTTCTCCGCCACCCCCGAGGTTGGCTGCAGGCACTGGGGGGACTCCCCAGGTCTCCAGCTCATCTCTGTTTCCTGAACAGACAAGGATTAGGGAGGTCTGAGGGTAGGAGACGCTGGAGAGGGAGGCCCACAGCAGAGCAAAACCACAGGTTTCTGGTGGTGGTTTTCTGGTTATAGAAGCAGGGCGGGCATCATGAGCTGGTGGCTAGAAAGCGGGGTCAGGAAAGCCTTAGATGCCCTTGGTGGAGGCCTGGCATTCTGAGGGGCAGCTGCTGGGCCTCAGCTACCCGGACAGAGATAAATTACGGAGAAGTCTCCGTCTGTTGCCCGAGTGGTATGCAGGAAGCATGTTGTCATAATCGTGAGAAGGACAGCCAGCCTCCAAAGGATAGTGCTTTCTTCAGCCTTTCAACAGCCCCATTTCACAGATGAGAAAGCCGAAGCCCAGGGGGTTAAGTGACTTGGCCTTTGCCAAACAGCTCATGAGTGTCAGAGGTAGGATTTTAGCCTGGTGTATCCCAACTCTCCCCAGGTCTCTCCCTGACCCCTTCCTGCCTTCAGCAAATGCGTGTAAAGTCAGCAAACATGTCTTAAGCTCTGAGATGGATGGATGAATGAATGAATAAATACATTGGTAGATACCCAAATGAATAAATAAAAGCACATTTGTCAAAGCTTTCTGCAGGCTCAGCATCATGTGTGGCTTGGGGGTAGTGATGCAGATAGCTGGATGGTCCTGTCCTCACTGGCTGTCCCCTCCAGAAGCCCCCTGACCTGGGGGTGGGCCCCGGCGTCCCGGGGAGGGGGGCCGAGGCCTGCCTCTCCATAGCCTTCACTCTCTTCCCTTTCAGTCTTTGACAAACAGTCCCATTCACACGCGTTTCTACGCTCCTGTGATGCTCTGGAGACACAGGGTGTTGGGTGCTGGCAGACGGTGCTTGACAAATCCATTGTGCTGAGCTCTTCTTTCTCTTTTTCTACAGTAGCTAATGATAATTACCAACATTTATCCAGAGCAAACACATATACCTCTAACCCTATGAAGTAGGGGCTGTTATTATCCCCATTTTACAGATGAGGGCACTGCGGCAGGTGGAGGTGAATGAGGAAGTGTCTGAGTCAGGATTCGAGTTCAGGGCTTCCTGGTGGCAGACCTGGAGCTCTCTCCCCCGCACCACCCTGCTGCCTCAGAATTAATGTCAGAAATGGGGTAGAAGCATTTTAGACAGTGGGGACACAGGGGTGAAATCACGTGGGCCCCAGCCTCTGGGAGGTTCTTGTGGGTTCTTGTGGTTCAACTCCCCTCCCCCGTATGGACCCCACAGTCTAGCCCGTGGGGGGGCCACAGCCCTGTCCTCCGGACTCCTGGTCTGGGCTCTTTCCTCCTCGGTTGTGGATTCTCATTGTTCCAAAGGGACAAGCTCTTTCTGAGTCCTTCAGTTCTAAAGGGTTCTAAAGTCCCTGGGTCCCCACAGGTGCAATCTGTCATCTGGAACTGAGAAACTTCTCGGAGGCAGTGAGCTGGTGTGACGAGGGCCTGAGGCTGGACTCCAAGGAGAGGAAGCTTCTGGAAATAAGGGTCAAGGCGGACAAGCTGAAGGTTGGTAGCCACGTGGACAGGGTGACCACAGCCTGAGGGCACGGCTGGCCTCTGTGACCCAGGGCAGGCCCTCCACCCACCCGCCCTAGGCAGCCTTAGCAGACAGCAGAGATGGTGCTGATCTGCCAGAAAAGAGAAACCATTCAATAAAAACCGATCCTAGGATCCCAGGTCAAGAATGATAAAGGGCGGTAGGGTCCCCCCCTCATTTTAGAGCTGCCCATCCCAGCCCCCTCTAACACTGCTGCCTTCCCTCTGTTAATTATCTCCGTTACCTCCACTATGCTGTCTATACCATAAAGTACATTTACAAAATGCTCAGTTTGCTCATCTGTAAAATGGGGATAAGAATAGCACTGATCTCCCAGAGTCCTTTGAGGTGCAAATGATAGAGTCATTACAAAGTGCTCTAGCCCAGTGCCTGGCCCAGAGTACGGGGTGTGTAAATGTTATTTATTGTTATCACGACATCATTGTTACTAATCACCCTCATAATAATAGCTCTGAGCTCCCAGAGGGGTGAGAATCAAATAAGGCAGCATCTGAAAGCGCTTTGCAAACCTTCAGGCGCTTCATGAACATCAGCTGTTACTGGTATTACTTCAGCTCCAAGCCTGTCAGTCCGTGAACTCTTCAGACACTTTGGAAAACATTCACAGAAGAGGTGACATGTTGAACAACAACAAAGGAAAAGTCAAACCCTCATCACAGATCTTCCTGCCGCGTTTTGGCCCAGGTGGAGCCGATTTTACTTCCTTGTTCAGAGACACTGTCTGTTAGATGAGATGGGGGTCAAAGGGAAGCACCTGCTATGTGCCAGGCACTGCGCTCGAGCGCTTTTTACAGATAGCGGGGCACAAAGGTAGACGCCTGTGTGGGAATCCTCATAGCAGTGGAGCCTCGAAAAGGGGATGGGACCGGAAACCATGAGGTTGTGGGAGTGTGCTGCAGACCGCCCTGCAGGTGGAGGATACAGATGATGCCGTGGCGACGGAGGCTCGGGGGCCTTCTCCTCCATCCCCCAGAAGCGGAGCTTCCGATGAAGGTGTTCTGCCCCATTCTAGCAGCTGATCATTCCTAAGGGTCCTCCTGAGAGATGGGGAGGGCTGGAGACTGACCTGTGTGTGGTTTAACTTTCAGCGAGCCACGGAGCGCGATCTCAGGAAGGCAAAGGTGAAAGAGAGGAAGGACAAGGCCCAGAAGGGGGTGCTGCTCCGCGCTGTCCAGGTGGGTGCTTGAGCCGGAACACCCGGGTTAGGGAGAACCGAGATCCTCGTCCTGTCTGTGCTTCAGGGAGCGCCCGGCTCCTGTTATCGCCTCGTGGGGGGATGGGGAGGTGGGAGGGAGAAGGCTTCCAGCAGGAGCTCTGAACGCATTTTTAGTATGTGTTGGTCACAGCCCGTGGTTGGCTTCCTTTGTAACCCGAGGCATCTTATTCCATGCCTTTAAAAGCTCTCAAAAGGAGCCCCAGGCTTCTCTGGCTGCCCCAGGGGGTCAGAAGACAAGGAGTCAGAGTGTAGAGGCCGGAGGGTCCCAGCTGCGAGTGCAGATGTTGCCTCTGACACACGGCAGCTCCATGCGTGGGGGAGGGTTCCGGGCTACTGCGAAGGCAGTACGGATGAGTGGTTGGTCTACACTGGGACAGGCCGCTTCTTCACCGGGAGCTCCCTGAGCTGATGAAATCACAAACCTCCAAGAATTTAAAAAAACAAAACACTGCGGCTGGTGGCGGTTTTTTGGTTCTTGGTAAAGTTAACCTTCGGGCCACTAGGGGGCTGGGCCTGGAGTCAGGAAGACTCGTCCTGAGTTCAAATCTGGCCCCAGACACTTAGTAGCTGTGTGACCCTGAGCAAGTCACTTCACCGTTTGCCTCAGTTTCCTCATGTGTAAAATGGGGATGATAATAATAGCACCCACCTCCCAGGGTTATTGGGAAGATCAAACAAGATGATGGTCTTAAAATGCTTTGCAAACCTTAGTGTTCACACACCCATCTCTGCAGGCTATCCACGCTCCCTGCTAAACCAGCACAAGGCAGTTTTGGGGGGAAAGGCCAGGGCTGCTGGGGCAGCCAGAGGAGGCTTTGTGTGGAAGGGGATGTCTGGCCGGCACCCTGAGAGGTGGGAGCGGGGCTGGGCCAGGCCTGGGTACATGGGAAGGTGACTTTAGGGTTTGGTTTGAAAACCAGGCAAGAAACATCCAGGTGGTGTCCCCAGCCGCCGAGGAGGACGAGGAGGAGCAAACGTCACCCCATGGGGGCCTGGGCTCCGAGAATGCCGTCGGCGCCAGGGTGTCCCTGGATGACCACGGCCGGCTGAGCTGGCCCACGCTGCTCCTCTACCCCGAGTACGGCCAGATGGACTTTATCTCGGCTTTTCAGGAAGACTCCAGGTAACTTCTGCTCCTTGGGCAGCCCGGCCTGGAAAAGTTGGGGTTCAGACTTTAGAATGTTGACTGACTTCTCTGCCCTTGGAGGCACTGGGGAGGCCCGGGGCCTCAGCATCCAGAGGCCTGTCTTCCTCTCAGCCCCCTCCCCCTCCCCCATGAGAGCCCTCCCCCACAAGAGGCAGGTCAGTGAACCAGGCTGACCCAGAGCTCTCTTGGGACTTACAGATTCATCGACCACTTAATGGTGATGTTTGAGGAGCTGCCTCCCTGGGACCTAGAACGGAAGTATCGCCCGCATCGTCTGGAGGTGAGAGCTTCATGGAGCCCTCGTGCAGGCCCGTGGGCCACCCACGCTTTGTTCTCCAGGGGAGGGAAGCTCCCGGCGGGCAGGGACTTTTCCACTCTGTCTCCCCAAACCCTAATGCAGCACCCGGCACCCAGTAGGGGCCTCATTGGGGGTGGCAGGCATTGCATCCCCAGTGGTTCCGTTCTCCCTTCCTTTGCCCCCTTCCCCAGCTCTACTTTGAAGATGAAGACCGGGAGGAGGTGCACCAGGTGAGGCCAGAGAGCACCTTGCTGGAGGCGCTGCAGCATCCCAGGTGAACACCTTGGGGTGGGAAGGCCCTGCCAAGGAGACCCCCGGGGGCAGTGTGGGCAGACAGGAGCCCCTGACCCTGCCCGGAAAGGAGTGGGGAGACACAGGCCTGGTGGCAGGGGAGGTTTGTGATTCTCCCAGAAAATGATCACGTTCACCAGGGAGAAGAGAGTGAGCCCGTCCTCGGCCGGCCCCTGCTCAGTCCTAGCCTCTAGTGCAGGGAGACCCCAGGGCATCTGTCAGATACGCCACAGGAGTCACGATGTCACAGCCCAGCAGTGCCTGAGCATCCTGTCAGTTGGCAAGCATTATTAAGTGCCTTCTGTGTGTCTGGCCCTGCTAAGCCCTGCCCCCCCAGGGAGCTTTATCCAAGTCCTCCCAGCACGGTGGAGCCTGCCTCAGTTTCTCCAGGTGCCTGCAGGGCACCAGGGGAGTGCACCGGCCGCCCCATCCTCTCTCAGTCTTGAGACATATCAGCCCAGGCCTGTTTTTGATCAGACATTTCTCTGTCACCGTCCTTGTCACTGTATTCCTCATCTGGCTGGGCCTCGGCCTGCTCGCGCCCCCTGCACTTTCCTTGGTACGATGAGGGGGCGAGGCCTGTCCAGATCTTTGAGCCTCTGCCCCTGAGTCCCCAGGCTGAAAATCCAGTGCTGCCCCCTCCCCGTGTCCCAGCTGGTGGGTGGGGGTCTGTCCCTGGGTGTGAGCTCAGAGTGCTGCTGGCAGAGAGCCCAGGGGGCTTTGCCAGCCCGGAGGCAGCTTCCCTGGGTGCCCTGGGGCCCCGCAGCCCTGACTGAAGGGCCCCTGGACACATGATGGGGAGGCTGCTGTCCTGGCCTCAGTGATCGGAGGTGTCCCCATCCTGCTAATGAGTCGGTTGGTGCCGGATTGGAGCTTCCCCCTTTGATGGACTCATTCATTTACAGGCATTTATTTTTTATTTATTTATTTTTAACTAATTTATTTTGATTTATCAACAATCACTTCCATATGCTTACAGGCGTTTATTAACCCCAAACTGTAAAGAAACCATGCCTGTCCTCAGCTTCCCTTCCAGTGAGGGGAAGCAGAGCACCCAGAATGTTCTGGAGGGAAGGGTGGCATTCGGGGCCTCAGGGAACCAGAGACCACCCCCTCCCTGGCTGGGTGACCCTGGGCAAGCCCCTGAGCCTCAGTTTTCTCACCTGCAGAATGGGGGCTCACAGGTGTCCATGGGCTCTAGAGTAATGCTCCCAGGGTCTGCAACATGAAGTTGGACCAGAGGCTTCCATGAGCCCTTAGGACTTCAAACCTAGGAATCTCTTTCCCATTGTGCCTCAGGGGTCCAGGACCCCTTCCTTTCCCCTTTGTAACCCTACCACCAGGACAAAATGAAGACCCCTCCAGAATCTCATTGGTGACAGGTGTCCGGAGGCCATCCAATCTAACCCAGGCCTGAACAGGGAGCCCTTGGGGGCCACCTCTGTGGTAGCTAAGGCCACGATGGGCCAGCTCAGTGCTGGGTCAGAAGAAATCCAGGCAGCACATGCAGGCCGAGCGGTGGAGGAAACCAATTCCATGTTACTGCCCCCAGTGCAAGTGGGCTTTCTCAAAGGCCTGGTGCTCTCGGGCTGGCAGGGCCCCACTCTCCCCCACTCCCATGCAGGAGGTTAGAAAGGCCGGGATGCTAGGCCTGCCCGCTGGGCAGACAGAGCTGAGGGCTGGTCGTTTACAGGCCACAGCGCTGAGCAGCAGAAGCAGCCCGGGCCTGGGAGCTGGCAGGTCAGGTTTTGCTGACCAGGGGCCCTCCTGATCATTGGTGTAGTGCTGGGAAAGTCCCTGAAGACGGCCTGGTCCGGGCCTTTCATTCTGCAGATGAGGAACCTGAAACCGTCCAGGTCACTTAGTCCCTAACCCCAGGCAGAGTCAGGATTTGAATCCATACCCTCTGACTCCAAAGCAGGGTTCTGTTTATAATGCACTGCCTACCTGATGGAATTCCTATGAGGAACTGGGGGTGGGGGGCAAAGGGGGAGAACCCCAGGAAGAAGGCCACTGTACTTGACCTTGGCAATGTGAGGTTCAAGGTGAAAGATGTTCTCCTAGAAGCTGAGGAGCCCCCAGTGTGTCAGGCGCTGTTCTAGGTGCTGGGGACAGAGACAAAAATGAGCCGTTCCCATGGTCTAGAGCTTCTATTCTGAGCAGGCTCTGATCACAGAGGAGGGGGCACAGATCAAAGGCTGTCAGCATGGCTCTGAGAATCGGGAGGCATTCCCATGCCTCTGCAGAGGTGGGGGACTAGGGGTGGGGAGCAGTGGCTTCTGTCTTCCCAAGAGGGCCCTGGGGAAATGAGGGAAATGTAGGTGATGGAACCAGTGAAACTGGTAATGAAATCGGGCAGAGTGAAGGATGGGGAGATGTTGCCGTCCGCAGGCTCTGCCAGGGCCGCCTGTGCCATCGGTGCCTTTGGGGGGGCCAGGTCACCCCCACACCCCCGGGGACACCTGAGGGCGTGCTCACTACCCTCAAGGGTCTCCCCATTGAAGGGAGGGGCCGGGCAGACTTTAAAAAACAACCAGGAAAGGCCCTCCCATTAGAGAAATGGGCCAGGATTTGTGAACCTGTGGAATCCCTCCCTTTGCCATTCACCTCAAAGGGTTTGGGGAAAGAAGCCCTGACGAGACTGGGGGCTTAAGAGGCTTCCTTTGTGTCCTCACAGGTACTTTGTCAAAGCATGGACACCGGTCTTTCTGATCTTGGTAAAACAGTCTCCTTTTTGCAAGAATTTCTTCCGGGGCAGAAAGGTACATCGGCTAAAGTGACGGCAGCCCCCCACGATCAAGCCTTGCCCGGCATCGCTCCTGGAGGGCCTGCTGAAAGCTGGCAGGAGAGACGGGGCTAGGGGCGTCTCGCTGCCGGCGCTGCCTCTGGCCGGCCGGCGCTCATCCCCCAGGCTGCTGTCCAAATTCCTCTCCCCTTTGGAGAGACTCTTGGCAGAACACCACTTTAATACAGCGTAATCATGTTTTAAAAATAATTTTATTACCAACTTAATGACCATCTCCATGAAAACAAAACAATAAAATCCTATTTGAAGCCAGAAACCTGAACTACTTCAGTTTGCTAAAAGTAACAAGAATGCTCATAAAGGAACAGAATCATAGCAATAAAATCCCAATGGCACTATGTCCCCTCCTCTTTTCCGTGAACCCTCTCTGGGAGCAGAGGGTCCAGTGTGCACTGACCAGGAGCCCTGACCTCAGGCGGCTTTCCTCCCAACTCTGATCCGCCTTTGCTGCCGGGGGGAAGCAAGCCTTGCTCTTTCCACACTCACACTGACGCTTTAAGGCACTTAAACAGACTTCTGCTGCTGCCTTGTTTGTACACTGACTGGATTTCCCCCAGTATCTCCCCTTCCTCCTTTCAGGGAGCTAGCCTGTGTAACAGCGCAAGGGCCGTTACACCCATTTTACAGAAGAGCAGACAGGCTTTGAGGGCTGTGACTTACGGCAGAGGGCTTGAGCTATTCCCCACCAAGCCTTGGGCCAATCAGCCTGCCTGGACCTCAGTTTCCTCTGAACATCAAGGGGATTATCTCATCTGATCTTCACAGCAACCCTGGGAGAGAGGTCCTGTTACTGCCCCCATTTTACAGATGAGGAAACAGGAAAACAAGGGTTGAAGGACTTGCCAAGGGTCACATAGCTAGTAACTGAGAACAGAGCTTAATTTAGGCGTTCGTAACTACAAGTCTGCTGCTCTCTCCACTGTAACACCTAGCTGGCCCAGGGAGCATGGAAGAGGGATGGAAACCTTAGAGCAGAGGATGTCAGGCTTGGCTCAGGCTTTAGAACAAGGGATGTCAGAGCTGGGAAGGCCTGAGAACAGGGAATCTCAGAGCTGGGAGGGGCTTCAGAACAGGGACTGTCAGGGCTGGGAATGAGCTTAGAACAGGGAATATCAGAGTTGGGAGGGGCCTTAGAACAGGGAAGGTCAGAGCTGGGAGGGGCTTCAGGACAGGGAATGTCTGGGCTGGAAGCAAGCTTAGAAAAGGGAATGTCAGAGCTGGAAGGACCTTAGGAACAGGGGATGTCGGAGCTGGGAGGGGCCTGAGAACAGGGAATGTCAGAGCTGGGAGAGGCCTCAGAACAGGGACTGTCAGAGCTGGGAGGGGCCCTAGAACAGGGAATGTCAGAGCTGGGACTCACAGCCCAAGGGATGCCCTCGGCCCCAGTGGAGGCACAAGGAGCCAGCAGGCATTTGCAACAGGAATGCTTACAAGTCACTCACACTGGCTGGTTAAGGCATGAAGCTGGCAGGAGGTGGTGCAGGTTGGGAGAAGGCAGGCTACGCTTCTTAAAACAGCCAGAGGGGCACTGGGACACAAGTCACACATTGGCTGTGGGGCTGGATGGGGAAGGGGCCAACGATGTATCTGTAAAGTGCTTTGCACAATGCCTAGCACATAGTAGGTGCTTAATAAGTGCTCTTTCCTTCCCTCAATAAGCTGAGCAGGTCCCAAGGCAAGAAGGCTGAAGAATGCTGTCTGTGCAGCCAGGAAAGGAAGGTGGGAGTCTGAGACCACCAATTACTCCCAGCCCTTCGAGGTGCACGTAGCACCCTATCTAAAAATAAAATCTAAAAAGCTGCCTTCTGAACTTGTTAGCTCCCAATTATTTGGACGGGGTAGCAACCCTAGGCAAGGTCTGACGGCTCCCCCCCACCTCCCGCGGACTGAGCTGTACTGGAGGGGAGGGGACACTATGACCCCTTTGTTTTTACAGGTAAGAACAGGCCCAGAGGGAGGCAACCCCAACAGAGCCGAGTCTGACATTAAAGTTGGCCACAGAGTCCGACCCCCTCCTTTTACAGATGAGGAAACTGAGGCAAGCATCGGGCAAGGCTCAGAAGCGTCTGGATGGGGATTTGGCCCAGGTCTTCCTGATTCCGAGTCCAGTGGAGTCAACCCTGTGATGTCATCCTGTCTTTAAGGGCCGCACATAGTGCAATCATCACTGGGGGTAACAGCAAGACTTCTGGTGGCGTGCCTTCCGGAGGAAAACTTCCACGAACTAGAGAGCTCTGTTACCAGGACGAGGACTGCCCATCATCATCCTTGAGTATTCACTGTGTACGCATCCACTCATCCACCCATCCATTTATCCATCCGTCTACTCATCTATCCATCCTTCAACTATCCATCCATCCATCCACTCATCCATTTATCCAGCCACCCATTCATCTCCCTATCCCTTCATTCAGTCTTTCAAGCAGTCATTCTTCCATTCATTTATGCACTGATCTGTGGGTCTGGGAAGAAAATAGACAGGGCACAAGGTCCTGCCCACTTCAGCTCCAAAGGTCCCTTTCACGTCACCAGAAGCTGACCTCAGCCTCAAAGAGAAGGCCCTGGATGGCCATAGTGAGATGACAGGGTCGTAGACACAGAGCTGAAAGGGACCAAATTCCTCATTTTACAGATGAGCAAACTTCATTCATTCAACTCACTCACTCATTCATTCACTCCCTCATTCACTTGTTCATTCATCCATTCACTCATTCATTCATTTACTCACTCATTCACTCACTCATTCACTCATTCATTCATTCACTCATTCATTCACTCCCTCCCTCATTCATTCACTCCCTCATCCATTTACTCACTCATTCATTCACTCATTCATTCATTCACTCACTTGTTCACTCATTCATTCATTCACTCACTCATTTATTCATTCATTTTTGTTCACTCATTCATTCACTTGCTCATTCACTCACTCATTTATTCATTCATTTATTCATTTATTTACTCATTCACTCACTTCACTCATTCATTCATTCACTCATTCATTTACTCATTCATTCATTCACTCCCTCATTCATTCACTCCCTCACTCCCTCCCTCACCCATTAGTTGCCCAGGGACACAGGGCTAGGACGTGAGGGAGGATCTGGGTCCCTTCCTCCTTGTCCCCAAGCCCCCACACGACCCACGGCACCAGCTGGCTCAGGCCCCTCCCCCCACAGGCCAGCCTCGGTCACAAGGTGGAGAGGTGAGTGGCCATGTGGCAGAGGCTGAAGCCGTTACACATCAGGCAGCCCAGGTTGCAGAGGGAGGAGAGGAGCCAATAGCGGTTGAGCTGGCCGGACAGCTGCCTGTACTTGGCGTTGGACTCGCGCAGCCGCGTGTAGGACTTGCGGGAGAAGAAGCCGATGTCCTGGCCCAGCCCGTAGCTCTGCTCCAGGAGATGCATGTCGGCCATGATGTCTGAGGTCATCTGGCCGAACCACTGGGCATTCAGCGCGGACACGATGACGCACACAAAGAACACGACGAGCTGGGGGGAGGATGACCCAGTAAGGGCGGAGGCGCCAGCACGCAGCCTTCCAGCCCGCTGCCTCTGGCCTCGGCTTTCCATCTCGGTGAGGTTTACCGAGGGCTGCCTGAGAGACCCTGGGGGGGGGCCCACCCGGGCCGGCACAGCTCGGGGGGGGGAGGCGGCGGGTCCCTACCTGTGTGGTCTCTTCATCACTGAGCAGCTCCCTGGGGTGGCACATGGCAAAGATGGTCAGGTTGAAGAAGGAGCAGGCGGAGCCGATGTGGAAATAATAGGGGAAAAGACGGCTCTGGATGAAGCCCAGGGTGTGGCGGGTGAGGTTCCCACCCATCACAAAGCCTGCAGAGAGGGGACAGGGATGAGCCGAGAGCCTGGCAAATGGAAATCCGGTTAGGAGAAAAGTCCAGCACGTGGGCTCAAAAAAATCAACCTAGAGTGTGTGGGGCAGGTGATGAACAGAAGTCATTCATTCACTCACATGCTATGCCAAGCCCTAGGAAAACAAATCTAACAGGTAAGTCAGTAAGCCTGCCCTCAGGAGCTTAAATTCCAACAAGGAAAGACAAAACCTAGCCTAGAATACTCTGGCTCCCCATCCCAATACTTCGCATTTTTTAGAAATGTTTATTTTTTCAATTAACAAGGAATTATTTTCTCTCCCTCAGGTTAAAACACAACAGAGCAAAACCTTGGAACAAAGACGCATATTCAGACAGATTCCTTGGCAATATCCACACTTTTGGGGTTTTCAAGGCTCAGCTGTGCATCCTGTGTGACTTTTGTCTGGGGTCTCCCAGAATCCTCCACAGGGGAACCACCCAAGGACGAGAGGGCTCTTTATCCTTTGTGGGTACTGCGGGGGCCCTTGGGCCACCCATCCGTTACCCATCCATCATCTGTGGTTCTCCCTGACTCTGACCCATTTTCCTTTTTCTCCAAAGTAACTCTTAGTATATTTCTAGAGCACAGGCCATCCACGGAATCATGCCCGCCCATGCCCACCCTGTGTCTCTCAGGGATCCTGTGGGTCAGAAGCTAAGAAACTGTCCTATTCTAAGCCAGTCTAGGGTCTCTGTGCTGGGAAACAGCTGGGATCCCTCCCTCCCACTCACTCACCGTCCTCCCTGAAGAGTCCACCCCAGACCTGGGTACAGATGGACTAACTCAATGACAGGCCGTCCCACTGCATGCCACAGTCTGAACAGGATGGATTTTTCACTAATGTCTTTGGAGTAAATCGGATGTCCCTGGGACAGCCTTATCTTGTTGCCTGATGCAACAGGGTAAGCCATTCACAAACAGAAGCGGGTTCAAGTCTGCCTTTGATACATACTGTGTGACCTTACACAGGTCACCTAACCCCTAAGCCTCAGTTTCCTCATCTGTAAAACAGAGATAACACATTGTTAGCCAAAAGGGTTTAAGCCTTGCCTCTGTGGGACCATGGGGAAGTCACAATCTCTCAGATAACTCTCTAATAGTACAAGTTGCTGAAAGGTCTGTCCTGGTGGGAGGTTCCCTCCTGGGAGTTCCACACACCAATGAAACCTCAGATGTTTATAGGAAATGTTAATGAACTAAGCCAGCAACTTTGGCCCTTTTAGTGCTTCCCAACGAGATCGACTGATGTTTGCTTACGTCGATGCCCGTCTGTCCCTGGCTCTGGCCCTGGGCCCAAGTGGAACAATTCCAATCCCTCTTCCATAGGACATCCCTTCACCCTGACCAGCCTTGGATTTTCTCCTAAGTCAAACATCCCTGGTCCATCATCTGATCTTCCTAAGGCATGGTCCCCAGTCACTGCATTATCCCCCTTCCCCGGACTTATTCCAGCTTGTCAAAGTCTCTGCTGAAACAGAAGGCCGGAACTGAGCCAAATATTCCACGTGTGGTCTGCCTCGGGCAGCCTCTCACCTTCCTCACCCCTAACATGCACACAGTCAGAGCTGGAAGGGCCCCGATACAGCCTAGTCCAGGGGTCCTCAGCCTGGGGTCTGGGATTGTTTGTTGGGTTTTTTTCTAAATACTTGGATAAGTGTATTTCACTATAATTGGTTTCCTCTGTAATGCTAAGTATTTTATGTTATGCATTTAAAACACGATTCTGAGAAAGGGGTCCACGAGCTTTGCCAGGCTGGCTGCCCAAGGGGCCTAGAACTGAGGCTTACTATCCTCGCCTCCCTTGAGCGAGAATGTGAGAGCTCACTGGAAATGTTGGAGAGATGTTTCTGATGAAAGGCAGGGTCAGAAACAGAGCTGCAAGGTGCTGAGAAATGAGCAGATGGTGAGGAAGGAAAGGCATTGAGTGGAGATATTCTAGGGTTGTGACAGCAAAAGGGAGGAAAGAGAAAGAAGGGACAGCTGGGTTAAAGATGGCGAGACACAGGCATGTCTACAGGAAGCAGGAAAGGAAGCAGACATATTCATTAAAAAAAAATAATAAAAATTAAATTTTAAAAAATTTAAATTTACAACTTTTTAGAAAAATTTTTAAAAATCAGGCATAAATGTGATATAAGTTAGATACGGGATCTGCTAGGGACAAGACTGAGAGTGTAAATAGGAGGAATGTTCCCCGGCCAGAAAGATACCTCATCCTCCAGACTGGAGCCAAGGACAGGAGGGCGTGATGGCAGACTGACTTTGAATGGGGAGCTGGTGCTCTGGACTCAGAGCGTCAGTTTTTTCAGGGTCCTCTGCTAAGAGGCAGAGAAGGTGGGATACAGTGGTGGGAGGAGAGAAGACGCAGGAAGGAGGGGGATGTGGATTTCAGAGTTACTGTCCACGGTGGAAGATGGTGATTTGGGATGTCGAGACCTAAGGGGGAGGAGGCTTCCCTTAGAGACGGCCACAGGTCAGGGGACTTGGGAGGCCAGGGTGCTCAAGGGGAGGTTGGGCTGAAGTCCTCAGAGAGGATGATGGGTTGGGCTACAGAGAAAGTCTGTGAGTCAGGAAAGGAGCCCATCCCTCGGCTGCAGGAGCCGCCAGGCCCAGAGGGAGTGTCCAGGCTCTGGAAGGAGCCAATTCTCCGTGACCTCCAGATGAGGGGAAGAGGGCCAGAAGAAGATGACCGGAAGCCCGTTTCTTGTCTGAGGCAGGGGACAGCCTTTATTTCTAAAGAAAATATACAGGATGCCAAGGACCCCAGCTGTTGACCAGCATGTAATCATTAACCACTCCTAAGCCCACTGGACACCCTGTGCCCAAGGCACCTTCCATGCACCTTCCATGTGCATTGTACAGGCAACTGGGGAGTCTGAATGACTGAGGGGTCTCCACACGGCACAAATGAAAGGGGAGGTAGAGAAGAAAAGGGAGCAGAAAATGGCAGACGTGGGCTAGAAGGGGAAAGGCAGAGAACACAGTGGAGACCCGAGGCTGAAACCTGCCTCGGACACTTACTAGCTCTGTGATTCTGGCCAACTCACTTAACTGCTCCCAGCCTCAGTTTTCTCATCTGTAAAATGGGGATAATAAAGCACGTATCTCCCAGGGTTGTTGGGAGGGTCAGACGCAAAGCCCTTGGCCAACCTTAAGTGGCTACATAAATACTAGCTAGTATTACTGTTGTTACCAGGGGCTTACCACAGACTGCCTGACCCTGCCAGTTACTTAACTGTCCTTGTCCCACTCCCCCAACCCCACCCCTCAACTTCAAGGTCCCCAAGAGCTGGGCTAGGTCTCATTCGTGTGAGCACATGCTGTATTCAATCCCCTGTGGGATGTATCTTCAGCAATAGAACGTAAGCTCCTCAAGGGCAGGGCATGTTTTGTTTTCATCTGTGTAACCTCCATGCCCCTAGGACAGTGCCTGGCACATGGCAGGCCTTTAATACACGCCTGATGAACTGAATCTCTGCATTCCCAACTGAGGCCAAACACAGAAGGGGACGGGTAAAAGTCCACCACAATGACCCAGATAAAACCCTCCCCTGAGATGTACCTGAAATGAAGGTCACCCAAATCTGCATCCCCCAGAAAGTTGAGAGGAAGATAAGGTGGAGGGTCTTGGCAAGAACGGACGGTTCCACATCTGTAGGCATCGTGGGCTGCCGGGGCCAGTGGCCGGGGATCTGGTTTAGACAAACAAAGACAGTAACTCAGTCACACACATGATTCAGCAAACAGGTATTAGGAGGCAGCCTGCTACACGAGGAAGGACACTGGTTCTGGCACAGGAGGAGCAGAATTCAAATCCTGCCGCTGGCATTGTCTCGATAACCTTGGGCAAGTCACTTTGCCTCTCCAGGCTTTGGTTTCCTCATCTACAATAATAATAATGACAACAGCTAACATTTATATAGCACCGTAAGGTGGACAAAGCACTGTACATATAGTATCCCACCAAGTCCTCACAAACCACTCAATCAGGTGGTGGTGGTGGTGAAGTCATTTTTCAGCTGTGTCCATCTCTCCATGACCCCTTCTAGGGTTTTCTTGACAGAGATAATGGAGTGGTTTGCCATTTCCTTCTCCAGCTCACAGATAAGGAAACTGAGGCAAACAGGATTAAGTGACTTGCCCAGGGCCACACAGCTAGGAAGAGTCTGAGGCCAGGTTTCAACTCAGGGAGATGCGTCTTCAGGCCCAGCATGCTATCCACCGTGCCACCTGGCTGCCCCCACTCCATTCCGATTAACTTCCCCATTTTGCAGAAAATAAAAAGTCTACCTCCAACATCCATCCTCAAAAAATCCTAACTTGATCTATCCATCCCAACTAGTTAGCACCCTCTCTCTTTCTTCCCTTTCGTGGGCAGACTCTCTAAGAAGGCCATCGATACTCAGTGCTTTCACTTCCTCTCACTGCCTTCTAAACCCTCTTCAGTCTGGCTCCCCACCTCATCATTCAACCCAAACTGCCCTCTCCAAGTTACCCGGGATGGCTGAATGGCCAAATCCAAAGGCCTTTTCTCAGTCCTCCTTCTCCTCGGCCTCTGCAGCCTCCGACAGTTAACCCCCCCCTCTTCCCACTGCTACTCTCTTTCCTCCAGGTCTCCGTACTCTGCTCTACGCGCTTCTCCTCCTACCTGCTGGACGACTCCTTGGGTTCCTGGGCTGGATCTTAATCCAAGTCACACCCCCGACCACATTCACCCACTGAGCACTCTTGGTGCCCTCATCAGCTCCTACCGACTCATTACCATCTTGATGCAAATTAATCAGTCAGTAAACATTTATTAAGCACCTGCTGTGTGCTGGGCATGATGCCCCTGCCCTCAAGGATCTTACAATCTAATAGGGAAGTCAACTTGATTCTCACATCTGTTTACCCAGACCTAACCTCCCTCCTTGACCTCCATTTTCCCAACTCCAACTCTCCATTGGGCATCTGGAAGCAGACGTCCAGCAGACACCTTACACTCGTGTCCACAACTGAACCGTTATCCTTCCCCCCAAACCCTCCCCTCTTCTGAATTTCCATGTTAGGGACAAGCACACCACCATCTTCCCAGAACCCAAGGTTTGTGATTCTACTTTCATCAGGCTCCTGAATTCACCCCCTCCCCTGCTGACCCTGCCCCCACCCTGGTGCAGCCCCTCATCCCTGGATTACTACAATAGCTGCTGGGGGGGTGGTAGAATCTGCCTGCCCTCAAGTCTCTCCCCCCTCCAGTCCTTCCTCCACTCAAAGCCCTTTACAAGGTGGACCCCGGTTTGTTTAACCCCTTACTCAACCCATACTGGCCTCCCTGCTACTATTTAGACAAGACACTCCCTCTCCTGACTTCAGGCCTTCTTTCCCTCCTCATCTCTGCCTCTTGGCTCCCCTAGCTTCCTTCAAGTCCCATCTTCTGCTAGAAGCCCCTCCTGGTCCTCTTCAGTGCTAAGGCCTTCCCTCTGAGACTCCCCTCCTCTGTCCTGGCTGTTGTCTTTTCCTTGTCAGACTGTGAGCTCACTGAGGGCAAGGGTTGGTTTAGCCTTTCTTTGTAAAGCCAGCACCAAACACAGCACCCTGCACATAGCAGGTGCTTACCCACTCTAACAGTGAAGATGATGGTGATCAAGGTTTGTTGATCGACCTTGGAAGAGAAAATGTCAAAGCTGAGAAGGGTCTTAGAGCAGATAATGCAGGCTGACAGAGCAGGAAAGGAACACGTGGGAAACTGAGTCATTTTAGACGGGGGGTAAACGGACAGAAGATGAGAGACGGAGAGAGACAACAGAAGGGGAGGGAGAGAGGAAGGCGGGGGGGGCCGGGGAAGGAAGGAAGGGAAGAGGAGGGGAGGGAGGAGGAAGGGAGGAAGGGAAGAGGAGGGGAGGGAGGGGGAAGGGAGGAGGGAGGGAGGGGGAGGGAGAGGAGCAGGATTGGAAAGTGAAGGGGGGGAGGGGAGAGGGAGGATGGAGGCGGAAGGGAAGGAGAGAGGCAGGATTGGGGAGGGAAGCCGGGGGAGGAAGGAGGTGACTCAGACAAACTTCTCCGACTTCCTAAGTGTGCCTCGCCCCTCCCCCCCTCCCCCGCTCCCATCTGGGCCTGCCCACGTTTGGGGCCCCGCAAAACTGGGGTACAGACCCCCCTCTCCCCAGCTCAGCCCCAGCTGCCCCGGGGCCCCCCGGGCGGGGTCTCCGAAGCCCAAGCTCCCCCCGCACACCCACGCCACGCCACGCCCCGAGCGCCCCAGTGGCCTTTACCTGGGTCCTCCTTCGCTCTGCTCGCGGCCGTGGGGCTGCCTGGGAGCGGGTGGCCCCGCAGGGCCTAGGCACGGGTGGACGAGGGGGCGCAGCGAGGTGGGGCGGAGCGGGGCGGCCCCTCGGCGGCGCGCTCTTCCTGGCCCCTCCCCCCGCCCTTGACCCAGGCCTCGGGGACGTCCCTGCCCCCCCAGCCCCACCCCTCTAGCCCCAGCACCCCTGGAGGACCCGGGAGGACTGGAGCTTGGGTCCGATTGTCCCCATGGGGCCTCCTGCGTCCGAGCGAGGCCCTGGGGCCAGGTGACCCTGGAGCACATCCCGAAACGCGCGCGTGGGTGTTCGTGGGTGCCCACGTGGGGGGGTGGTCGAGCCACTAAACCGCACGGGGCTGCTGTCAGTAAACGAGCACTTATTAAGCGTCTGCTGTGTGCCGGGCCCCGTGCTCAGCTTGTGGGGTACCGAGGGAGGGACGGGGGTGGGGGCAGGCCCTCCAGGGTCCCCTAGTCCCAGGGCACCCCCTGGGTACCGTCAGCGGGGGGCAGGCACCTACCAGCATGAATGGGTCGGGGAAGGCTCTTGCGGGAGGGGCGACTTTAGTGGTGCAGGGACCCCTGGGCTTGGCCATCTCCCCCTGACCAGCTGGTGACCGTGAGTGATGAGGAGGGTCCCAGCGCCCACCCTCCGGGGCTCAGGGGAGGCCCAGTCTTGAGAGCTCAACGTGCAAACTGCCGGCAGGGGCTACTGCTAGCGAGCCAGCCTCCCCACGGAGGGACAGCTGACACGTGCCGCCTCCTCCAGGACTCTGCTGGACACAGCTGGGGCCCCACGAGCATCCCCGGGGGAGCTGAGACCTGGCAGCCACCCTTGGGCCCACGCCTGATGAGAGAACAGCTGAGAATCGCCCACTTGGAGCAGGACTGTGAGCTTCCTCGGGTGCAGGAGACCAGCCACGGCTTCCCTGGAGGTCAATGGGGACTAGGAAACAATGTATCAGCAGACTGGCCCTTACAGGTGGAGGGCAGGCCTGCTGGGGGCTTCGGGGTTCTTGTTCTAAAGGTTGCGCTCCTGATATACCGAATCCAGCTTCTGCATCAGAAAAAGGGAGTATGGGGGGCAAACTGAAGGCCCCTTCACATTGTCTGGACCTCTGGCCACATCTAGGGGGCCCCATCTATTCTGAAGGGCTTGGCACTTGAAGAGCAAATCCTAGGTAGTCCCTTGGTCCCCCTTCTGGCTGCAGGGGGCAGGAAGGGTCCCTCAGAGTGACATCAGAGAGGGTAGGCCATGGAACCATGAAGATGGCCTCCCACGAAATAGGTTTTTTTTATTATTATTTTTTAAAAAATCTTTATTTTTTAAATTAATTTATTTTGATTTATCAATCACTTCCATAAGCTTTTGAGTTTTAAATTTTTCTCCACCTCCCTCCCCAAGACAGCTCACAATCTGATATAGGCTATACATACACATTCCTATTAAACCTATTTTCACATTAGTGATGTTGTAAGGAAGAATTAGAACCAATAGGAGGAACCACCAGAAAGAGGAAACAAAACACAACAGAAGAAAAAAATAGCAACTAGTACGCTTCGATCTGCATTCAAACTCCATAGTTCCCCCTTTGGATGCGGATAACATTTTCCATCATGAGACCTTTAGAGATGTCTTAGATCAGTATTGCTGAGAAGGGTTAAGTCTATCAATATTGGTACCTAACTGATTATGCTATTCCTTTCTTGAGCCAAATCTGAAGGTTCAAACAATGCTCATCTCCCTCCCTTCTTTCCCTCTGCCGTAATAGATTTTTGTGCCTTTTCCTGTAATGCAATTTACTCTTGTCTGCCTCCTCCTTTTCTTTTCTCTCAGTACATTTTCTCAGATCAGATTAATTCACTTGGATCCATTTAACCCACTTGATAAAAATTTTTTTTTAATCATTACATCAAAGTCAATTTATACCCACCCCCTTTATGTATACCCCTTTAAGATGGTGTAATAATAGTACAGTTCTCAAGAGTTATAAGTGTCATCTTCCCTTTTAGGGATGTAAATAGTTTGCCCTTATTAATAACATGTTGTTTCTTTCTGTCCCATTTACCTTTTTATGTCTTTCTTGAGTCTTGTATTTGAAGATCAGGTTTTCTGTTGAGCTCTGGTCTTTTTATCAGGAAGGTTTGGAAGTCCCCTATTTAGTTGAATATCCATCTCCTCCCCTGAAAGATCATGTCCATTTTCGTGTGTAGTTGATCCTTCGTTGTAATCCAAGCTTCTTTGCCTTACAGAATATCATATTCCACGCCCTCTGGTCTTTTAATGTAGAAGCTGCAAGGTCCTGTGTAATCCTGACTGTGGTTCCATGATATTTAAATTGTTTCTTTCTGGCTGCTTGCAGTATTTTCTCTTTGACCTGGTAATTTTGGAATTTGGCTACTATATTCCTTGGCATTTTCAATTTGGGATCTCTTTCAGGAGGTGATTGGTGGATTCTTTCTATGGCTATTTTACCCTCTGGTTCTAGGACCTCAGGGCAGTTTTCCTTTATGATTTCCTGAAAGATACTGTCCAGGCTCTTTTTTTCATTGTGATTTTCAGGTAGACCAATAATTTTTAAATTGTCTCTCCTGGATCGATTTTCCAGGTCAGTTGTTTTACCAATGAGGTATTTCACGTTTTCATCTATTTTTTCATTTTTTTTTGTTTCTGTTTGACTGATTCTTGCTCTCTCATAGAGTCATTAGCTTCCATTTGCCCAATTCTAATTTTTAACAAATTGTTTTCTTCTATTAGATTTTGTACCTCCTTCCATTTGGCCAATTGTATTTTTTAGGGACTTATTGTCTTCAGTGTACTTTTTTTTTCCAGTTGGCCAATTGTATTTTTTAAGGACTTGTTTTCTACAGTTAATTTTTGTCCTTCCTTTTCCAAGCTATTGACTCTCTCTTGCATATCTCATTTCTTTTCCCATTTTTTCTTCTACCTCTCTCATTTGACTTTTAAAATCCTTCTTGGGCTCTTCTAAGAAGGCTTTTTGGGCTTCAGAGCAGTTCATATTCCCTTTTGAGGTTCCAGATGTGGGTTTGTTGACAATGTCCTCTCAGAATTTCTGCCTTGATCTTCACTCTTCCCATAATAAGAATCTATCATACATTTCTTTTTGCTCATGGTGTTTGCTTATTCCCTGGCCTTTAAAGAGATTGAGCTTTCTTGCTGGGGAGCAGAGGGCACTAACCCAAGCTTCTTGTGTTGAGAGCCTAGGGTCTGGTCACTGGCTTTGTGTGCTGGGGCCTCTGATGTGGCAGTTGGAGGCTGTAGGGTTCTGGCAGCTTATCTCATGTTGGACTGGAATCAGCAACACTGGAACTCTAGGGGCAGGATTGGGTAGTGTGGCTCTTGGAGATTTCCTGCTCACCCAGGCCTTTCCTTCCTGTTGCTTTCTTCAGCTCTTTTCAGATGGATGTTGTAGGGTGTTTATCCACCTGGAGCCCCTTGGAGTGCTGCTTCCCTTAGTTTTGTCTAGGCACTGGGAGAGCCGGTTTCTGTAGAATGCCCAGGCACCTGATGGTTTTCCAAGCTGGCTTCCACCAGTTTCCCTGCCCTCAGTGAGGCACTCGGGGGGACCAGGTGTTGGTGTTTGCTTGCTCCACTACCTGGATTTCAGAATCTTCTCGGTATGCTAAGGTGGGGCTTTCCATTAGCTTGCTGGGATGCTTCCCCTTCTGTACTGGTCCCCTTCCCCCAGGGTAAGAGAGGCCTTTCCCTTTAATCCCTCAAGCTACCTGGGCTACTGCACTGTTGCACCCCATCTTTCTTCTGGTTCAGATGTTCTAGGGTTTTTCCTGGGGTGATATTTTCTGGGCTTTCATAAAATAGTTTTTAAAAGGAGAGACTCTACCCTTTGCCTTTCTCTTCCTTCCGCTCTGGTCCAAGGGGCAGATTTTCTCTCTCTCTCTCTCTCTCTCTCTCTCTCTCTCTCTCTCTCTCTCTCTCTCTCTCTCTCTCTCTCTCTTCTTTCTCTCTCTGTGTCTCTCTCTCCCATCTCACTTAAATCTCAGTCTTCTCTCTCCTCTCTCAATCTCTCTTCTCAGTCTCCTTCTTCCCTTCCTCTTTCTCCTTTTTTCTATTTCTCTTTCCCTCTTTCTCCCTCTCTGTCTCTCATTTCCTATGACTGGTGATAGAAGGCCACTCTCCCTGCTTCCACAGGAATGGCTCACCATGAGAGCTAGAGCTGCTGTTTGGCTGGGAGGGCTGAGCCTGGGTCTCAAAAGCCTGGTTACCTTTCCCCCTTTGTGCTTCTTTCCCTGAGCGTGGGGGGGGGCGGGGCTGAGCAGCAATCCTGACATGGGTGTCTCTGGCCGTGGAGGGAGCCTGCTCATGGGTCCCTGGCTGACAACTGCTGCACTATCAGAAGCACCTCTGTAGTATTTTTTGGAGAAGACGACCACTAAAATCAGGAAGAGCCCTGGCCAGCCTGACTAGGCAGAAGACTTGAAGGAGGCCACAGAGGACTGAGGGGAAGGGAAAAGTCTCCCTCTTAGTATGACTTATTGTGGGATGTTTTAAGAATCAGCCCCCAAGGAGGGAATCACAGTCATTAGGCTGCTGCTGCTTGCTCAAGTCTTGGGCGTTGTGCACTGTGAGGTGTGTGTGTGTGTGTGTGTGTGTTTCATGCTCTCGAGAGCACTCCAGCAGGAAAGAAATAGTCTCCTATGAGTGAGTGAATGAATGAGTGATTTAAAATTTTATTAAACACTGTGCCAAGCCCTGTGCTAAGCACTAGCAATACAAATAGAAGATGCACAACAGGGCTTGTGCTTAAGTATCACACCCTCTAATTAGAAACAATACCGAGTGTGAGGCAGCTTAGCTGCAGGGCCAATGGAGAGGCTCCCACTCACCAGTCCTAAGGATGTATCACAGGGGTGTGTGGCATGGCCCAGAGGTCTGGACGGCAGATGGTAAGGCCCAGGGGACCACAGGAGGCAGAGGCAGAACAGATGAAGTCCTGATGGTCCTTCATTTCACCAGAAGGGTTGTAGTTGGTGACTCCCAGCTCAGGCAGTGGTTGGAGCAGCCACCATCTTGTTTTTCCTGCCCAGAATAGGACCAAGGTCAAGGAAGAGGAGGGATGAGGGAAATGATAACCTTTTCACTCCCTCTTGTTGGGGAAGCCTAATATTTAAATGATTTTCCCAAAGGTCT